TAAGCTCGATACCTTTCCCTACTCTATGACTTTTCCCACAGGGTTTTTATCATAGAAGGGTTTTAACGGTCGAGGGCGACGTCTAGGAAGGGGGAGTAGTGTTACAGGGATTACGGAATACTGTCCTAAAGGCTTAGAACAGTGAGGAATACGAGTGACGGATTGTGATGCGAGGACGGTCGGGTAACGGAAGGACAAGCATAGAAAGGTATCGGGTAGTGTGGGGGCACGCGGTGTTACCACACTAGTACTATACTATTATGACGGCACGCTTACTGTTGGGTGTCTCACCCGAAATAGAATAGGAAGCGGGGCTTACGGCTGTAGGCTGTTCTACTCAGGGAAGTAGGTCTAGGATAATAGTATGGTACAGCCCGATGACTGGCAATTGCAAGGTTCATGGTTACGTGTCGGAATTAGAATGGAGGACGGAACTATGCGGGGGCGCTTTTCTATCTGGGGTATCTTCGGGAGCATTGTCTTATTCTATTATCGTTGTATCAGTTAGTATTAGAAAGCGGGCCTTGGCCTAGGTTCCAACATGTATAAATAGGGCAGGATTCTGCGAAGACTTGAGGGTATCATCAACCATCAAGTCAAGGGAATCCGGTTTACAATATCATCAGTTTAAACGCTACAGAATTATCGCTTAGCACTGGCCATTTCCCCAAACATTGTAATGCATACCTCCCTCAAATAATCCATCAAAGGATGTACTCTTTCGATGTACAAAATGTATACCGCAGCTATATCCGAAGGGAGGAAACGTGGAATAAATTTCGAATGACCCGATTTGGTAAGACCCTTGTGCCAACTGGTGACCCACATTAACATACCATCAACAACAAAAATATTTCTGTTCCCCAAAATCCCATTTCGGAATTTAATTTTAATGATCTCCGAGGCTCTCGCGGGTTGACCCCCAACTAGGTGGAATAGTAGTAGCAGTGCTTCGAGAAGCAGATTTTGATCATTAATTAGTTGTTGAATGCCGTTGTCCATATATACCAATTCTCCATCGACTGTTCGCAATATTTTGTTCCTCAGAGTTTCATTGTCAAATATAGCGTCAAGGCACTCCCCATTCCCTTGGGGAGCAAAGATCTTCCTATTTCTTCGGTCTTTAAGAAAACAGTAGTCTCTGTTGAGGCATGACATATCATCACACACACCCGATACCCAATTCTCAAGGTCCCCTTGCGGCATAGCAATCCCGAACCCTTTCAAAAGCACCCAAGCTTTCTCCACTTGGTCTTTAATCATTTTCCTGAACCTCGCCATACTCAGTTCCGAACCTTTATAGCATATGGTTTCTTCGCCACCTTTAAGACTCCAGAACAGGTCAGGTTGGTTGGATTCAAGCCTGCCAATCTGCAAAGCCCAAGCAAGCAGGTTGGTAACCTCCGCAACTGGAACCAAGCCCGTAGGTGTCAGGTATTTGTGGTGCAGTTTCTCCAATTGAGGTAATATTTCATCGTCATTCCCTCTGGCGAGTTCCCAAGCCTTTCGCAGAAACAAGATTCTCGCATCGTATTGTAAACCTGCCAGATCTGTTGAGATATTCTTCGCTGTTTTGAATAAGGATTCAATTGGGTCAATTCCAAGAACGCCGACAGCATGTAGGAATGGAGCTCGCATTAGCATAGTCTCACTGAATGATTGCATAAGAAGGCTCATGCTGAACCCGAAAACTGCCTTTTCCAAGTTCTGGTAATGAATAGAGTTCTCCATATCATCGTCACCCGCCTGCTCATCGCTTTTACTTTGTTGGATCTCTTTCTCGATACTGATCAGCCATTCCTTTTGTTCATTCGTGAACACTAGCATGTTATCATAAGGTGGCTTTCGAATGTAATCTCCAACCCAAATATGCACGAGATAAATAATGATCTTCTTGAAGCCATCGGCGTATCTCTTTTCAGTAGAGCCAAATCTCCTTTTCCATGGTTTAACTGAGTATTCCTGTGAACTAAAGCTCGCCATCCAGCGCCTCGTCGCTAGGCCGGCCTTCCAGTCATATATGTTCCTGCAGACAATAAACATATCACCCACAGCACAGGCGACTGCAGACAAACCCTGATAAAACTCCCCTTGTGGTATATCCATTAACTTGCGGATAACCGCGAGATCTGTTTCTTTGAAGTGAATCAGCCAACCAGTTCTCCTAAGCCAAGGCGAAACCTGGTCTCCAATCACCTCCCCAACCACGCCTCCTGTCGCTCTTCTCATGAACTCGTTGAACTTTCTCTTTTCATTGACTCTCATTTCTTCCGTTATCAATCCCCTATCGATTCTCATCTTACTATCTGGAACTACAGGAAACCATTTCCTCCCTAGCCCTATAAAGAATGATTGTACCTGGGCATCGCGATACCCTTTTGCTGAATTGTGTCCCTCAGGGGGATTTGTCGGTGTCTGTTTCTCTCGGATATGCCGCTGCATTGTCTCTTTAGATCTTGATGAATAAGGGCATGAGAGGCATCTAAACCCATCATAAATCGCCAGAGGATCGATTGGAGCTTTATCGGGAACCTGCACTTCCACCTCGTGAACCGGCAAAAGCTCCAAAACTTCGAGAATCTTTTGCAAATGTTTTTCACCCTTTTTGAACTTGTGTTTCGACACCAAGTGTGAGAGAATATACCTCGGATCGATTCCAGTTTTGCATTGAAAGCATATCATTACTTTGTGTTCCCGATTATACTCTAGACCCCAGTTTGCTGCAGCTCGCCGTGCTCCGAGCTCATCTAAAGGGTTATTATCCGTCGATTCTTGAATCAAGCTGGGCACAGCACTTGCTAAACCCGAAACGGCTTGCTTGTTCCAACTTGTCGATACAAGTAATCTCGTTTCGGCATACACCACCTGCATATCTGAAGCAGCCAAGAAAGGAGGTGTGCAGGCTGCCTTTCCAAGCATATCCAAATCACCGGAAAGAACAGTATTGGGAGAATCTGCTATCATCTCATAATCTTCACCCGCCACTAATTCGTTGGAAACTCCGAGTTCTGATTCCCACTCGTTAGCTACTGAGATAAACAGAAGCAATAAGAGAGTTTCTATCTCACCTAAACCAGGAGGTTCATTACCCAAACCTTGATATGACGAAGAAGCTTCCTTTTGCCCTACTCCTATATTTAGAAAAACTCATCGAACCTCGCGAGTATAAAACACTCACCATCAAAATATTTTCTTATATCATTCTGCATACAGAGGTTCTCCAAGTCGAGATCTGTAATATGATCCCCGAGAAGATCCTCCATACTTCCACTTGGGATGAGAAACTCGTCACCGGTGTCTTCCATACCAGCATTCATCTGCCCAACTTCAGCAGCCTCACTTCCCTTCGCTGAGTCTTCACTGATTATGTCATCCGTAGATGTAGTATTTTGTTCTGAAACCATTTGGCTGTCAAGCGACTCCACCACATTATCCCCATTCACAGCAAATGTGGATGGAGGAGATTCACAAACAGAAGGCCGACTCAGCGCCTCTCCAACTGGAATTACGCCCACTCCCTGATCTGTTTCAGTATCGAGTGGAGATGTAGTAGCTATTGAAAGTTTAGTAAACTCGACGATACTTGGAGCTTTTTCTGATACATACAATTACTCGGTATAGTAGCAACAGACTCTTGCAACCCTGTAGAGCTTGAGGTTTCGGCGACACTCGTCGGGACAGGTGGGGTTGCAACATTTTCCTTTAGTCGTGGATCAATCGGAACACCAGACTCAACTACATTGTCTATAGTAGCGTTGGTAGATGCAACTAAAGCTTCCGAGTTATTGCCTGACTCTACAGGAGGTGGGGCAGGCTTAGCGGCGGCTTTTGCCTTTCCCGACCGTCTTTTCTTTGTATTAATTGCTGGGGTTCCAACAGCTGGGGTGGCCTCGTTGCCCCCATCGCGCACCGAAACCCCTTGGTTACCATCACCCGCTGAGGTAGTCTTTTTTGTATTTCGTGAATAAGCAGGAGTCGTTTCATCATGTGTTGTGTTCCTCAACCGAATGTGCCTTCTTATATACTCTGGCTTTCCACTCGTATAACCACATTGGCATCTAAATAATCCTGTAACTCCATCCCGAGCCAGAGTTGCAGTATTTCCATCCCAACTGGTGGCCTCGACACTCGTTTGATGAGTCTCCTAAATATTTTACTCGAGTGTTAGAAAATGCATCTAGAACAGAGGCTGGGACTCAATCACCCTCTTGTGACTCATGAGTCTCGCATTGCTCTGAAATTTCTGATCACACTGCGAGCACTCGAAAGATGTTGTCATTTTGTCTCTAAATAGAGTCAATTATCATTACCTAAAGCTCGGGAATGCCTAATTGTTTAATCTCCCCTCAACTCACTTCTTTTCGGTATCGCTTGTTATTTTTGATTCTCAGTTTTCAAGTATGTTTTGTTGTTGTTTTGTCTGCCGAACTTTTTACTTGTGGCTCTCATCGGGCCACATTGCTTGCCACATAAACACACTATGAGTCGGCCACATTTACATTGAACGATTTCCCTCATAGTTCCAGAATTATGCATAACTGTCCTTAGAGTTACGCGTAATTTGGCTTTGATAACAAGGCTTTCGTAAATCGGTTTCATCTTACCCTTGAATAACTGGCAGATAAAATTGACAACTATGTGTATACACACTCAAAGTCGCAATGTATGACTTGATCGATTATTTGATTCGTGACCTCATCTGTTTTCTCACTATAAAACAGACAGAATGTTCCCTCATTCTCGCAATTAATATCAAACCTCCACCAATCCATACAGCAATGTCTTGTAAGAATCCCCTCGATCACAAATATTCGCTTCACCAATACCAGCCAACAGCCAATAACGAATCCCGCTTCTACAAAAAGAAAAACGAGCTGCGAAAGACGATTCATATCCGCGATAGAGGCTAGCCGGCGATCTCAGACTATCTTTGCCGCACTGTCACGGAGCCCGTTAATAGTTTCCTTGTGAATGGTCCTCTTGCAGCTTCCACTCCTCCGATGACCAGTAAGCGCGCCAAACAAGCCGCGAAGGACAAACAAAAGAACATACCTAGACTCTCGGAGGCACAACTCCATGCAAATCTCAAAGCAGATGAAGATCTTCGTAAACAGCGCGAAGAATTGGCAAGAAAAATGATCAAGCAGAGGGACAATAAAGTCCGTTTGAAACTGCGGGCAACAGAGAAAGCAAAGGCCAAGCTTATCCAACAGAAGGGCAAGCAACCCGAGGGACAACATCAATTGTCTAAATTTGGCTTCATTCAGAATACCGTTCGTACCTCTTGTAGCCAGGCAAAGGAACGATCCCCAGTTGCACGAACACAAAAACGTAATTCATTTAGCTAGTTTGTTGTCAGTTTCAGTATCTTGCTGTCTTTTGCAAACTTAATAATTCAAACTGTGTTGCTTACCTCAATGAATAAATTCGCTTTTTTTCTAACTGCAAGTCCTAATTATCTAAAACACCCCCGAGTCATTTTATAACTCTAGTATATATTAGTACACTCCTGTTAAGAATATGTATAGATACTCTTTACCTTCACTCTCCTTCCGACCATACCCTACGCGTGTCTCGAGAACGAGAGCCCTGTACCAGTCTCTATCCACTAATGCAGCTCGGAGCTCCTCGCACACAACGGCAGCCTCGCCTTTGATAATTGCGTTTTCCCTCATCAGATCTCGGGTGACCTTGATATCCTCTTCCATCAATCGTAGCTCTCTGTTCAATTCTTCGATTTCCTGTCTTTGTAATCTCCTGATAAACTCGGAATCCTCAAGCCTTTTTTTCAAATGCGAGAAACTTTCTCTTACAGAAGCTTTCAGCCTCGTAGCCTGATCTGGTGACAGAGATCTAGCAAATATGGCGATGCTAACCATTGTGTAAATATCTGTCCTGGTTTAAAAGGTTCCTGGTATCGATGATATTACTTGGCAGGTATAGAGTAGGTACTCAGTTATCGTGGAACTGATGAATTCTTTCGGGGGGGTGTTGTCTGATTCCCAGTTAACACAATTTGTACCTGAAAACACGTGTTATCTGGGAGGCTGCACAGTGAACACCTTATACCCGAACGCGATACTGTAACCCTTGCTCACTCGGTGAAATGCTTGGCTAAACCTTAAATCAACTACATAAAAATAAAATAACCCCACCCCCACCCCCACTACCCCTCCAATCACTCGAGAATGACACAAAAAATTATGCTATGAACCATTACCTTTACTCAACCAATCGGGTGCAATCAAATTATCAATATCTATCACAGTGGGGTTTCCCTAGAAAAACACGATTACAACATAAACTGAGAAATTAGAAAACCAAAAAACCATGCATTGCACATACTTGTTTCTTTTAGACTTGACACAACTCGTCAAAAGTACTCTCTATTCAAATTGGTATTCTGTCTCGTACTTGAGCCTCCTTTGAACACATATTTAAACACCCATCGGCCAATTTTCTCAAAGACACATATGTCTCCACAGAATGTATAAGTTCACACAATTGCCTCCGACTCATCACTCCTATCAAACAACTGACAAAAGCAGCCTAAGTATGTGTAAGAAACTCCATCAATCGAACTTATCTAACTATACCTCAAAAGCATAATCCATCGATTGCTTATACACAACTTAATACCCTCAAGAAACTCGATTTAATGATGAGGTTAGTGTATTCCTCCTTGCTATTTATGAACCACTGTATCACTAATCACTCGTCCTCTTCTAGCACCATCGAGGACTCTCAAAATACCGATTCATTCGTAATACCTTCACCCCACAAAATCCATTCAATTTCAGATTTCTTGGATCGGGATATTTCTACCAAAAGAAGTGGAGCCCCTCCACCCGAAAGCCCATATATGGTTCCTAACACTTATCCTCAAGCCGGATCTCATCAGGGCCTGAAGAAACCCACCCAAAGCCACCTACCCCAGTCACAGGAAGTGACTGAACTAAAGTCAACGCTGGCCAGAATCAAAAAGCTTAATCATAGATATATAAATGTTGCGAACGAGAACCTGGAACTAAAAGTTGACATTGAGCTATACCGAAAGGAGCGCAGACAGTGCAAAGAGGAACTTGATGCCATGCAGAAGAAGGCCGAAAATGCTATCGCAAGATCGCTGTTTTACCAGAAATTGTACTTCAGGTCCGAAGCCAGTCATAATCCAGGAATGCCTGAATGTCGGTTATACTCACCAATGATATATACTTTCTCTACGAATACTAATTTGTACAGATTCCTACTCATCGGACAGCCAATCGGAGTCTATTCCTGATGAATGCTGCATTCCCGAACCCCCAACTGGAGCTGAATTCACAACTAGTTCTGTTTTTATCCAAGAAGATGGCTCTTTACTTGCTAACTAGCTAACTCCTGTCTGCTGCAAGAACAATACCAAACTTTGTTCAAAGATACCATTCAAGTAAACATAAGCTATAATAATAGATGTGGTCTACCTGCTTGAAATTCCTCTGTACAATCCTGATAAGTGAACATTGTTATCGTGTACTCTTCCAGCTCCCCTGCTCCACCCCCATCTGGGCCACCATTCAGTATTTTAGTCCCCTTTTCCCAATTATTACAACAAGTATCCTTGAATACTCCTCTACAAACAAGTAGAGATGAATAGCCATAACACTCCCTTTTTCCTGCATAACATTCACACTCCGGCCACTTCACCAGAATTACAATTCTTCACAAAATAAAATTTTATCCACAACATAAATCCGTTACTTTTTGTTATGCCCTATCAGGCTTATGTGGTCTAGATAGTGTTCTAAATTCAATGAGATCCACTCTGCGGGTTTCGTTTCAATTCGCATCGAAGTATCGTTTCTCTTCCTCTGGCTACCAGCATCAGGAAAAAGTGAAATTGCTCAGTGTGCTCCATGGAGGTGATGGAGCCCGCAGAGCACGCGGTGGAATTTTGCCTTCATGGAGGGACCCTATTTGTTTCTCCTCTGGGAGCCAAATATTCTGCAAGCTAAATTAGGTCACAACTTGTGACCTCGGCACTAGTCCTTTATGTATATGCCTTGAATCGTCGTCTATTACTACATACAGTATCTGGTAAAATTATTGCGAAAGTGGGTTCTGCGTGACCCGATAGTCCTATTGGCCCTTACAAGGTTTTTGCTGCGAGCACAGACCAACAAATCCACTCTTTTAGCTCTGACTTTTGCAATAATTCTACCGGGTACTGTATACTATCTAGGCTAATTAAATCAACCACCTGGTACCTCCGCGCCCACCTCCGTCCCTACATCCGCGCATGACTGCCTTCCCGACTGTCCGCCTAGCTCTCCACCTACCTCCACACCCAACTACCTCCCCGACTGCCTGCCTTTGGTCGATCTAGTCGTCAACTTGATAGCCAATTAGGCGTCGATTAGGAGTCTGTAGCGGTGTCAGTACAGGCGTCAAAATGCATAGGTAGGTAAATACGCATCTAGGCGTCGATACAGGTAGGTAAATACGCATCTAGGCGTCGATACAGGTAGGAGGGAGGTACTCTACCAAGGTAGGAGATGGGTGTCGATGCAGGTATCTAGGAGTAGGCGTTGATGCAGGTAGTAGGTAGGTGTCAATGCAGGTAGGAGGTTCTACAAAGGTGGGGATCCACAAGATGCGTTAAACCTGAGGTCATTCACCTCCAGCTTACCTAATCGGGACTAGCCTCCTAATATATCACATTTCAGACGCCCTATCCCTTCGTTCGTGCCCGCATTTCACATTCTTATAGGGCGAGTATTCTTATAGAAGGAACCCTTATAGCGAGAGTCGACTGTACCGGGGGTTCACCTTAAATACCGAGACGCCTTGGATTTTGTATGGGAACCGCCCATGGCAACCAAAAAGCAGCCAATGAATTTTGATCTTGGCCCTGAAATTTGTATGGGGAAAAAAGAACGAACACACTTCATATATACTCACTCAAAAATTTAAATATTTTCCTAAAAATGCAAAAAATAACCAAATGATAGCCCTTGTTCTGGCCATCACCTTAATAGCAATCCTAAACTTTCAAACTTGTTTTTCGTGGAGCTCAGAGAGAGCATCAGTGGAAAAGAGGGGATGGAGGTTGCGTTGCAAAAGCTGGAACACACACAATTCAAATAACCTCTTGCCCGCCAAGTGTCCTTTTTTTTGGAATCGACCAATAGCAGACGCCCACTGACCCTTACAGCCCAAAATGGGGTTCTCAGTACTTAACCTTAACCCCGGTACTGACGCTTAGGCTGTATCTAGAGCTCAATCCCTTCGTCTGTTCCCGCGGATCACCACCCATTAGCGTGGAAACGGCGTCGTGATCAACCAAAATCAAACGACAACTGTTTAAAGCACTACTTGAATGAGGATTTTTGCGTGAAGAGTGGAGACAATTTTGCACCGCCGACGGCCGCTTCCAGCTAGGCAGTAGATTTTGTATGGTAAGCCACAGATTCCCACAAGTCCTGAATAGAGTGTATTGGCCACGCCGGATATCCAAATTTTGAGCCCAAATTTTTAGTTCTTGGCGGCGCACTAGACTAGACTGTACTATACTGTATGAGTGCTATGACATAGCCGGCTTTCAACCTCATTCCTCCTCAACTCGCTGCATCAAATAATTGAAGTACTTATCATCATCCCCCATCAGGAAAGTCACAACTAATTAAAGACAGACACAATATGGATGTTTCTCAACTGCTAGATGATACAATGCTCAGGAGGGTTTCCTCTAGTAACTTTTACAGTGCAAGAAACGGGCGGAATTCGTTTCGAAACTCGTCTATAAACATTGGGAGGTAGGGAACAGTTATGGATCTCATCTATATCATAGAAAGAGAGTATGATGTTAATATTCACATAGAACTTTCGCGATACCAAACGCCGAGGATGCCGAGAGCGCCGGTTCAAATGGCAATCCAGATCCAGAAGGTGTCGCGGATGCATCCAGTTGGTCAGATAGGGATTCTGGAGCGGATGCAGGGCCCTGTCGGGTCAGCCAAAGCTTGCTTTGAGGAAGCCCGAGACCTAGCAAGGGCAATACTGGATGTAAATCCATACAATTCGGGTCATGGGAAAACCACTGCCGCTTGGGATGAGGTACTCAAGAGACTGAATGAATCTAAGAAGTAAGTGTTTCTATGAGTAAATAGGTTTCTAAAAGTGACTTTGCTTACTAGTAGTTGTATTTACTCATATGCGATAGGTTTATGGGAAAGAAGCCATTATATTTACAGACTCGTATCAAGGACCCGATTTCATTTAAAGAGAATCCACCCCGGAGTAGTTCAGGAGATATTAAAAGGAATAAGTTTGGATTGGATGATAATGCGGTAGGTATATCTGCTACTACCTGATGTGCGAGTACTAATTTAGAGTATTTGTTCTAGTTAACGAGACTGGCCGGTACTTTGGGAAGTGTTGCGAACATAATTGAAGAGGAAAAAATTGTTAGAGCGGGGGAAAAGTGCTATTGCGGAAAGGAAAAGACAATCTGATATGATTGATCAAGAACGGGGATTGACTTTTAGTAAGATCGCTTCAATGGGCTATGTCACAGCCAGGCAGGCGGGTGATATTTTGACACACCCGGATGATCAAATTGTCAGCAGCGCTCAACGTAAAAGACCACGGACCACTAGGCGTCAGAGATTGATGCGAGATGAGAATGATCAAGTCATATCACAAGACAGCGACACTGACGCGCCTAACAGCCAATCTATAGGCACATCGCACAGCGTACCCATTCAACAATTTAGAGGTGGAGATGGATGGTTTAGTGGTACTCCAGTACAAGGCACCGGCTCAAGGAATTCAGCGACTGCACAACTCCCGTCCTACTCCATGATATTACAAAAGAAAGGGAATCAAGACGGAACAAAGATATGGACGAAGTAAAGGAAAGATTGAAGAGTTTGGAAACAAATTTGAGGAAATGATAGAGATATTGAACGATATACGGCATAATACACGATCGGCAATTACAACAGATAGAGAAATATAGAAAACAGTTATCTACCTTTTAGGTATTCTGATAGCAAAGGTGGAAAGCATTTAAAGTAATGGCTTGTCTCGGACCCATACAGACAGATATGAATATTCGTTAACAAAACTGCTACTCTGTATTCCATTCCTAATGGTGCATTCAACAACTTCTGACCCCGTTTATAATCCAAATACGCCCATAACCGAATGATGTCTGCAAATCCCCATTCCACACACTCGCGACACGAGGCCATTGCCTTCTTGAATGTCTTCTCTTTTTCAGTGATATCCAGGTTACTAAATGGAGACTGTAATACTGTAGAGACTGAGTAGACTGGGTCCCCGTAAATGCAGAATTCAGGCGCATGAACTAGACAACCGTCTTTGAGTCCGCTCTCTCTTAATAGATGATTGTCATTCCGTCTACCTTCGTACGGTCCAAATAAGTGGTAAATAATTCCATTCGGACTCTTAACTGCTGAGTATTTCAAAGCGTGATGCTTTTTATGCCCATTACAAAAAGTTCGTTGCCATACAACAGGTCGGCAAATATCGCGTATCGTGCAGTCGATAAATCCTCAGCAATTTGGTAGAGGCGCTCCTTTTTTGTATATTGCTGCTGCAAATAAAGACAGACGGTCAGTAGTTAGATGGCCTGAGTTGAAATCGCAAAGTAGAAAGTCCCAATTGGACTGTATTTCGGCTAACACCCAAAAAAATGCCTCGGAAATCATTGAAGCCGAATAACCAAGCAGTAAAGACAGCGTCTGTAGCCGACTTGGCCAAGCAAGCCTTGTGTATAGTATAGAAAATCCTTCTTCACGAGTGAACCTATAGCGTGAAGGGGTGGTGAAGGATTCTGAGAGGCGAAGGGCATTTGAAACCTCACGGATGACTTGAGAGGTAAAGCGTGTAAGGTGCAACAGATCTGAGTCGCTTAAGGAGTTGAGATTTATTCTTTGCCGTGCTTGGACATTCGGAATAATTAAGTTTTCCACGAGAAAAAGAAATATCTCCTCGTAACTGGCATTTGTCGCCCGCAACTGATTCAACAAATTTTGATCCAACGGCATAGGAATAGAACTGATACTTCAATCTCCCCGGGTCTCCAAAAGTTTTTTATATTGCTATAATGTAATTACTAACCCGTTCCTCTTTAGTCTAACTCCGCCCCACTCGTCAAGAATCCAAAATTTGAGCTCAAAATTTAGATATCCAGCGTAGCCAATACACTCTAATACAGAAGGGATAAGCAACTCTGGCTTGCTTGGAACAGGGCATATTATGTACACTTCCAATGACACCCCACCTTCCACATTCACCTTCCGCCTTCCACATTCACCTCCACCTCCACTTCCATCTCGATACACACCACCAATCAATCGTCAACATTCTGCTCAACAGCGTCCTCCTAGTATGTAGTTTGGTGCCCTCCTACTAGCGCGTAATTCTGTTGCATCTTTGCTTACTTTCCTCAAGGTGAGATTTAGGCACCGAATCGAACACGAAATCGAGCACAGAATCAACCTTTTTGTACACCAATCCAAGCACCGGCCCCGATTCAGGCACCAATTGGTGCAGCACACGATATGGTGATATCATGCCAGTGCCGGCGGGTAGCGTCCTCAATTGGGTCAGAACAGTTACAACCCAACTACAGCTAGTATACGGAAAAGCCCCACACCATTTCTTCGGCAAAAGGTTGTGAATTGCGTGAACGAACGAAGAGATATGTCTCAACGTTAAATCAATAGAGTGTGTTTGCGTATATGAAACACCAAGATCTCACTTAACCCGCGATACAGCTGGCTGGCTCAAAACCTGTCTTGGCATTTCCCCTATATAATCACGACCTCACCACCTTACGAGGAACAAACCATAGCGCCAATACACGTCATGGAATGCTCCTACACCCAGTCCCCGCATTTCCGAGGAATGTGCTCAGCCGCACATGCAATGATCATTGATCCCAACCTTGTGGCCTCTTTCCAACACTCTGTCTTTCCGATACATGGCAGCTCTTTGTGTGGCTTTCTTCACAAACATCTTTCATCTCTCGGGCTTAACTTCCATGACAACCTCGGAAATAACGATTTAATCTCGCAATTCATCAATCATATACACGAATGCACCCTGTGTCTATCAAGTCCAAGTTTGATCGATGCTTACAATACCCAGTCAATCAACCGCAAGGACCATCACTACAAGCGCAGGAAACTAGTTTCCACAATAGGCCTCACCAGGACCATTCAAAACAGGGACATTTTTCTCGGTGCACTTGAGACCAACGAGAGACTAATTCAGCTTGATACCCCCTACCCACCACCAGATTTGTGGGTTGCCCCCTCCGAAGAGATTAGATCAATTTGGTATAAACACTTCGAAAAAATCAAACTATACAACAAGAGGCATACGCGAAAGCAAATTATTATTGTTGCACATCCTGAATGGAAAAGGGTGGTAAGAAAGGAAGAGAGTGTTATTCTCCGCGATACCCATAATAAAATCATATGCATCGTTATCCGGAATTTTATACCACATGAGGAAACAAGAGCACGGGCGAATTCAATCGTACTCGATACATTGGCAAAGAAGAAGAGTGTGAGGGTATGTATTTACCATCAAGTCCTTATTCACAAGTTTCTTTTCAGTTGTCTGACAAACATAACAGCTTGATGATCCTGGAAAAATTGTACTCGAAGGTTACTCAGCTGGCGCGTTAAACCAGCCAATGTTTGCATGGGCTCAAAACCTTCTCTCCCAAAGCTACAATTCCGATGAACTCAAAGATATGAAATATCAGAGTGCATCTGTATTCGCTTTATTATGGAATGTATGCAAGAGACTCTTGCCATACGAAGTAATCAATGATTATCAGGAATATCTTACTCAACACAACATGTGCCGCATGAACCCCGTCACAAGGACCCCTGGTGCAACTGGAGAGTATAGTATTGGAAAACAGATTTTCCGACACCATGAGCTTGCACCACCCTCGGGTCAGTTTACAAGTAATTATATCAGGTTAGTCAGAAAGCAAATAATACGAATACTATCCCTTTATATCAAGTACCGAAAGGTTGCTAAAAATATCATTAACAACCTATTCACAGATACACACATAATGAGTTTAACGCAACAGAGTATATGATAGCTTGGACAACGAATAGGGTTGCCAGCGAGGGAACCAAAATGGGTGGAAACTTCTATCTTTCTGATTTCGGTTTACTCATTGAGGCTTCTCAAAACTCTCTCGTTGTTTGGAAGCCTTCTGAATATCATGGCACTACTTTAACCAACATTAATCCTATGGATACCGATCCCCCAGGCTTTAATCAAAGTGGATGTAGTATCGCCCTTTCCAAACGCCTTGCAAAGTCTTGGGAGATCTACCTTCAGCGTGTGTTGACAGAGGAGGAGGTAGCGAATGCTTTCGAAAATACTTAGTTGATAAACAATAAAATACCCCTTTTTTCTTACATTCCAACACGGAAAGAAGTGAAAAAAGAATGAAAAGCTCCGAAAACCAGCCGAGTATTTTAATGCTGCAAACTAGTGATGCGCACGAGCCCGGGGTAGGGCTAGAGCCGGCTTGGATTGTGGAGCCAGTGGCTCGAGGTGTTCGAGCCCTCGAGCTCTAATGTTTATATCTAAGAATAGAGTTTACAGTAACTAAATGACTCCTGCCAGCAGCCAGCTATAAAAGCACCACCACGAGTGGCCTTCCTCTTCTTCAACACCAATACCTCAACACCACCAACACCTCGACAATAATTACCACCAACATCTTCAGCATCACCCCCTTCACCCCCATTTCTATCAGGTTCATCATATTAGATCGGTGCCCCATCTAGTCCCCTCCGTTCCCCAACTGTTCCCATCTGTTCCTCACGTCTCCCCCTCTGCTCTCCCTCCTTTCCCCCTACATTCTCCACCTGTTCCCCACCTGTTCCCCACCTGTTCCCCTATGGTCTCCCCTTTCGCTAATGTATTTTAGAGCTTGGGGTCATCATCACTATGATCGGTAACAAGGTAGGTCATATCCAGTCAACTAATTGATATAGCTATTACTAATAGGCAGCAGCAGCAGCAGCAACGGGGGCAGCAGAAGCAGCAGCGGGGGCAGTGGTAGTATCAGCAGCGGTAGCATTAGAAATAATAAAAAAGAAATTTAAATTCATTAATTCAATAAATTGATTAATATATATCCCTAAACAACTAGTCATTTATTAACGGTGGTCATACACTCGACGTTGTCATTTAGTATAAGTGACAAAAGTCGTTTAGTTAATTGAGTTTGTCACTTATAGTAAATATCGAAGTCACTTATACTAAACGACTCTACCAAATGACAAAGTCATTGATAGTTCGCTACTAGAGGTAGGAAACTGATGATAAACATGGACATATCTAGTTCAAAATTACGCTTGATTTTTCAGATGAGATATCACCGATATCAAATCAGTGTGGGAACAGACCTACAAGAACATCCGATGCTTCCAATGAATAAGCCCTATCAAGCCTTATTATACAAAAATTAAACTACTTTGCAAATCCAAGTAATTGGAAGAGGAAGCCACTTTCGTTCTAGAAATGGGCGGGTAAATTCATCAAAATAAGGTTCGGCCCGCATTGCTGGCTAGATACCTCCATGCTGCCATCCTCCCTCGCTGCAAACAAAACCACATCAACCACCACTACATGACCGAGTCCACCGTTAGCCCAAGCATGCCATCTCTCGACCCCACCGATCCAGGTACATTGGCTCCTAATCGTCAACTCATCTCTCACGCTGATCAATCACGTGCACATGAGCTATCGGGAAGGCAGAGAAAGAAACTAGAGAGCGAGAAGAGAAGGAAAGCTCACAAAGCAAAAATGAAGGCAAATAAAGCAAATGCGTTCGTTCCACCTCTCCTGTACTGTCACCTTCCCTACTCCATGTCGAGCTCTTTCTCATACCTCTTATGGGACGAGTTCGAACCTGCCCTGATACGGACTCTGTGCACCGCAGTTGCGGAGACCATACCCTGATTTGCCCCTTACCTCTACTGCGACGGGTTCGAGCTTAGCTCTCATGTAACGGGTTCTGCCCCAGTTCGCCCTTACCTGTACCGGGCCGGGTTCGAGCTCAACACAAGACTCAATCATCAAATGCTAATTGAACTATAGGTCAAAGGAGTGCCGTTGTAGGATGTATGGGTGTATGGAAATGATCCCTTGTCCCGATCTTTCTGTCCCATCCCATCAGACAAGTTGCAGGTTCCACTGTGTGGACTTCAAGGCAGATGCTCTTTGGGGAACTATCATCAAGTACCAGAAAGAAAACCCTACATTCAAGCCTGATATATGGGGAAATCTCGCATCCAAAGCCTCCAAGTACACCAGCGTGCCAACGCATAATGCAGCTCACCCTACTGATGGCAAAACTCCTGTCTTATTTCAGTCCAGTGAACTTTGGGATGACAGAGAGCGTCCATACTCCCGGGTTCATGACGAGTGCCTACAGTTTGGAATGAATGTATGTTTGATCCCTATATTCCAGACATTCCTCTCTCGTATACTCCACAGAATCCTCCTGACGTTAGTAGAAACGATGGGAATCTGTACCCCCTAAGGCCTCACCCTGGACAATTAACAGTCAGCTCATCCACAATGAACACACCCCAAGTGAGACAGTATATATGCTCAATTTGGATCCCCCGAAATTGATAAACGATTTCCCAATGACTGCACCATCATGTCTGGGAGCCAGCACTGGTGGAGAAGCAATTGGTTATATGGCATATAATGTCACCCCAAAACACTCCTATGTTGACCTGCATGTCGGTATGTCTTCTCTTTTATACCTTTTATCGATTCCCTCTTCGCCCTGTACACTAATACATGTTATAAAAGACCGTGGAACAGAGACTATAGCTACTGTCTGTCATAAAGCTGTCAAGTTTTGGCTCTTGTGGCCCCCTACATCCAAGAACGAACAAAGTTTCTATTCCCAGGCTGAACAACACCATGGAACAGGCACAAAGACTCCAACTTCAAAAAAATCCAAAAAGCCAGATCACATCGTCACCGACAGGCTTTGTAGAATTGGAATCCATCTTGAAGGGGGAATGATCACTAAAACTACCAACAAAGAGGCATTGTTCATCCCCGCTGGCTGGATTCATTGTGTCCTCACAACCGAAGGAGGCTTCCTGGCTGGTGTTACTTGGGGTAACACTACCCGCCTAGACACCTTATTGCATTGTCTTAAGCTGGAGGCCCAGTTTCATCACAAGCTCGAAGAAATGATTCCCAATGTCGAGTTCCTAATGGAAATCATCAACATCTTCTTCAAAGCGCCTTTCCAAGAGAGCATAAATCTTGGCATGAAGAAATGGCTACAACTGCTTGATATCTTGAAGGAATCCGGCCTGGAATGGGGAAAGGAGCCTCATGTGAAGTCTCTTGCTATCATGAAGGTTCTCTCCAAGCAGAAGCTTGTCACACTTCCAGAAAGCTGTGTCTGTGGTTCAACAGCCGCCGATATGGCAGCTCACCTTTTAACTCACGTTTGGGGAACCGCGGCGCCTAGGCACATTCTTAGGGGGTAACACTATTTAAACTGTATCACTTGTAACGCTAGTTTCGTCAAATACATCACTGGTGGACCTCTATCTTTTTCTATGTTCTTATTAGTGTTTGTTCTGGCACAATTAAGGACGCTACCCGCCAGCGTGATATAGTCACATATGGCCTGTCTCGTTCACAGAAAGGTAGCGGCTTACAGATGAGTAGCCTATTCAGTGACATCGAAATTTGATATCCGACTATTAAACGTTGTGACACCATATTTGTATTTACCTTACTCTATCGCTTCGTGTAATTAATTAATTACATAAATAAAAAATAAAAAAACCTTTGTGTGTTTTCACGGGTGTGAGCCGGGTGTGAGCTAAAGTGATAGGCAGCTGTTGATCCCACGCCGTAATAATGCCCTCCTTCATCCCCCGTCGCGCCCTGACAATGCTCAAGCACGCCCAATCGTTGGGATAATTTAGAGAATCTTTCCTCCTACCTCATCTTTCTTAGGTTGTTATTAGTATGTTCCCTTCAACTCACGCCCAACGCATTCGAATTGCTGTCTGGCGGTATCTTCTCAAAATTTGGGGCCTCGCCCTGCTCGATCTTGGGCCGTAATAATGACCAAACCCGCCCAATGCTTGTGATGATTCTAGCGCAACTTTCTTCTTACATAGATTATCTTTCTTTAGGTTCTTAATACTTCTTATTAGTATCTCCACTTCACCCCACCCATACCCAATTCTAATCGTGCTGTGTGGCGATATCTCTTAGCATGTATTTGGGAATAAGAGTGCTCTACGTCTGCACTCAGCCTGAAGCTACATTCACACATTACATGTATGGACTAAAGATGTACCTCACTACATGTACATCCCTTCGTGTGTTTTCACGACCAGACGCTAATAGGCAGCTTTTACTCGGCAATAAACCTAACCCTCATTCCGTGAGCCCTTTGCTGTAAAGTCACCTTCTGCGACCCCTTCTATACCTTTTTCAGGTGTCTACACAGTCTGTAGGTATCTAGACATTCTGAATATCACCACGCCGTCGCGGGCCTAATATGTCTCCGATTTTGCTCTGATGAACGAAGGGATAGTCAAGCGAATTAAATAACCTAGAAACTAGACAGATCAAGCGAACTTCTTCAATAACTTACATTAGCTCCATTGTATGTATATTGTGTATATACATATCCAAAGAACAGGATGTTTCGCGACCGAGCCAGCCCACTTGAAACCAGGAGTGGTTCGGTGCCTGTGGTCATTGCGCCTATTTCGGCTATCTAATCGTATTTACCCCTAGCGCGCCCGGTTGTGGTGTAGTCCTAAAAGACAGTCATGTCGCAAAAATCAGGCGGGTAACCACCCCACACCAGTTTCGTCGACCACACCCCACAACACTCCACTACCCCACTACCCCACTACAACATCAACATCATCCTAACGATAAAATCGGATCATCACCACCACCACCACCACCACCACCACCACCATCGCAACGTCAACATCAGCAACGTCAACATCAGCAACGCTCAGGTGCATGTCAGTTCTCGGTGCAGCTGTGGAAATACCTCTTACGAGGGCTACAGCCGCTCGAGACCTTGTCCTCTCATTTCTCGGTTGGGTTGCTGCTCTGGGCTGCCTTCCTGCCTTTGCGGCGGGTACCCAGACGGCTGTGGGCTCTGTGTCGGGGCATGTCAGCTCTCGGTGTAGCTGTGGAAATACCTCTTACGAGGGCTACAGCCGCTCGAGACCTTGTCCTCTCATTTCTCGGTTGGGTTGCTGCTCTGGGCTGCCTTCCTGCCTTTGCGGCGGGTACCCAGACGGCCGTGGGCTCTTACTTAGGGAGGGCATGTCAGTTCTCGGTGTAGCTGTGGAAATACCTCTTACGAGGGCTACAGCCGCTCGAGACCTTGTCCTCTCATTTCTAGGTTGGGTTGCTGCTCTGGGCTACCTTCCTGCCTTTGCGGCGGGTACCCAGACGGCCGTGGGCTCTTACTTAGGGAGGGCATGTCAGTTCTCGGCGCAGCTGTGGAAATACCTCTTAAGGGGCCCATAGCTGCTCGAGACCTTGTCCTCTCATTTCTAGGTTGGGTTGCTGCTCTGGGCTACCTTCCTGCCTTTGCGGCGGGTACCCAGACGGCCGTGGGCTCTTACTTAGGGGGTGCATGTCAGTTCTCGGTGCAGCTGTGGAAATACCTCTTACGAGGGCTACAGCTGCTCGAGATCTCGTCCCTTCTGTTTTCATTACGAATGTTCCTTTCTGTCCCTGCGCCGGGGCACGTCAATTTTTGGCTCAGCTGTGGAAATACCTCTTCCAAGGCCTATAGTGACCGAGACTTTGTCCTTCCTTTTAAATTTCCTTTCTACTCCCATTCCTTCGCTATCATGTATTCCCCCCTCTGTAGCGTGTACTAAGCTAGCGGTCCATGAATAGGCAGCGCTATCCGATGGTGACGGTCAGAAGGGCCTGCCTATATGCCAATCTCAGGGGATGGGGATTCGCGGTTTAATGAGTTAGCATATGTACAGTACGATGCCAGTCGTGAGGGTCAGGCGCGGCGTCGCAACGCCCCCCGAACCATCACGGGTACCAGCACAGCAACCACAATTGATCTTTTGGAGAGCTGAATTTTTGTATAGTTGTTAAATAGTAGATAAATAACAATAATTTGACATTTAATATCTTGTGTACCAACCCGCCGTTAAAAGGTTGTGGAAATCTGGTTGCGCCTGACCCTCACGACTGGCATCGTACTGTACATACAGACTTTGACCCAAGTGTGCGCTTTTTAACCCGTCTTTTTTTATTATCCTCAAAACTCACTAAGAAAGAATCATCACATACCGGGGAGTGGAGCGATCTGATGAAAATGTAAACAGATAATTGTAACCTGCGTAACACGAACCTCGCAAAGTGTACGCTTTATCTGCTAGAGACCAAGCCCACCAGCACAGGCTATATCCCATGAGAGTTTATCCTATTACATGTAATGAACACTCACTGCGTGAACCCCCTCCGCCTTTGTCAGTCTTTTACCTCTTACATATCCTCCAACTCCCTGACAATACACTCCTCTGCCACTCAGGATTCTGAATCTGGGTTTTCCTTATGAAAACCACATGCGGATTAAGTGATCTTGCAGTGTTGGTTCAAGATTGTCAATTAGAAGAAAAGACGAAGGCATGACTGAAGGTTGTCGTCACTGCTTACATAACATTGCGCCAGCAAAACTGGGAATTATAAACGTGTCCACAAACTTTCACCAACCCTCCCGCCAAAAAGCCCCGCTCTCTCTCTTTCCTTCTATTATCACCTCCACTCTTATTATTAACAACCCGCACCACGAGCTAAGGAGTAGGTTTCATCAACAACTCCTGAGCTACTATCTAATACAAGCACTGTTTCTCTCCGTGACGCTAATAACTGCTCACAGCAAAAACATTTAGGGTTACTGTTATCAACGAACCGACATATTCTTACAAAACTGCGAAATTTCTTTAAGTCCCGATCACGGCTCCTCATCCCCCAAATTATATACCTGCTCCGCCCGAATACCACACACCCAAATTAAAGTTTCATCTCTAAAAATGGACCCAAGTCCCTCCCCCAACAGTGATAAAAATGACACCTATTTTACGTGCAACAAATGCACAAGCGTTTTCGAAAAAGAAAGCAGACTCGTGGCACATGGACGTGTAGTGACCCCCTATACTAGTATTCCAAATATGAGCTGTGAAATGCTGATACTATAACATTCTGTTATATAGGATACTCATCAAATGGCAGTTTCTGCTAAAGCCGAAAGAGGCCCTCCGATTGTATTCCACCGGGATGAGACAAGTGGGATGTTCAGCTGCCCCTGTGGCTATACAACGCCTCGTCCCCACCTCATCCGCCGACATATTGTCCGCAAGGGTCGAGACCATCTTGGAAATACACCAGTCACCAAACCAATTGATGGTTCACAGGCGGAGGATGATAACCTCGTAGTGCGCGTAGGGCCACTTCCAATTAGAAGAGCTCCAAGTCTTGTGGACAGAGTCCAACCCACTATAGAGCGATCAAAACGATGCGCCAAACCACGCCCAGCTAAAACAGCCCCAAAGAACCTCGTGGATAGAGCGCAGCCTGCCATAGAGCGGTCAAAATTCCACATAAAACCACCTCCAGTTATAACAGCTCCAAACACTCACGTGGACAGATCCCAGGATGCTATACAGCGATCAAAACGCACAGAAGGAATTATCAATAGGGAGACGACCCCCATTATAGAGGAATCCCTACAACCCCTGAGATATTACTCTGACTCTGATGCTGAGTCAGTCATACTCGAAGACCTTGAGCTCAGTAGTAGTGAAGTACAAGGCTTTGAATTCAGCACTCCTGGAGCGACAAATTTATCTAGCCTCTACGGTTTATACTTCATCCAAGAATACAAGGTTATCATCTGCCTGCAGTGCCGCAATGGACTCGATCCCAATCATGTCTTTACTTATTTGAAGAATCACCATGATATGGCATTAAACAAAAAAGACGAGGTCGAAGAACTATGCGCCGCATTAAAGCCCCTATCAGTACATGATGTACCAGTACCAGCACCAAATAGCAAACCTATCGACAATCTCCTTATATACAAAGGATTCACTTGCATTCGGTGCAGTTATACAGCAAAGCATAAGGATAGTGTTCGGAGACACATACAGAAGAGCAGTTGTTTTACACAAGAGGAGAAGGCAACAAAGCGTGTTGCAAAGTACGAGCCTTGCAGATTTCAGGCATTCTTTACCGGTTTAGGTAGGAAGCCTTTTCCGGTCTCTGAGAGAGTGGATGAGAGGATAGCTCTTGACTTTCGTGGGGCGACAAATAAAAGTATCGAAAAGGCTACAGCAGACTATATCCAATACCAAACCCTTATACAGTCCAGTAAGCCTATTGGCGATGTTTCAAGGCAGGAAACATCCCCATGGCTCTCAAAGACTGGTTGGCTGGTACATTTCAAGGATGTCGAAACTTCAGTGATACGTAGCTTTTTTGGCACCAGCCAGGGCCAGCATCAATCGTTTCTCAAAACCACGGCAAAGCTAATTGAGAAAATGATGTCTCGGTGCAGGGAAACATACGACCGCAGGGCGACTGAACACACGAGGCGATGGATGAATAGTACCAGTGCCGTCGAATATAGTATGATTCCATTCAATACGGTCTATCCCACCACTGAGGTGCGCTACTTTGGTACCCTAAGATCTATCGGTATCTATCTCATATATATGGTAATTTCAGGCCGAGTTTTGGAGAAACCCTATGAAGGGCTCTTCATGTTCAATGCTGACCAGGAGGCATGCCTCGAACCAATCCTATCGATGAAAAATAGAAATGTAGATGAAGAGTTGCTTGAAAAACATCTCTTTAACTTTTACTTGGCTCTTATCGAGCATACCTTTGAGGAGGGAAAGGCACGAAGTGTGCTTTTACTCCATGCAATCGGTGTTTTAGGGCTCGATCCCAATGGCACTTTTCGTCCTGCAACTTCGGTTTCGGGGGACCTTGCAGCCATCATATATTGTGCAAAGATGTTATTATTTAGGCATGCATGTGAACTTGCGAGCATAGTCCCTTCGGGTGAACCGGGTTCTTCCACCTGCGAGCAATTCATTATCCTCCACCAAAGGTTTCTGGTAATGACAGACCTTACCCCCATCACCGAAATCATCAATCTCCTATCCTGGGCCAAAACCATTGGCCATGGCGAATCTTCGGTACCTGATATCATATGGTCAACTCTTCCTGGAATCGAGGCAGTCTGCTACAAAGGTGTGGAGATGAATATTGACACTCTAAAGGCAATGGTACAAGACCAAGTTACCAAAGCAGAAACTATATTATTGAAGATATTCGGCATTAACAGCACCTTACTCGACCAAAAGGCTATCTCAAAAATCAAGGATGATATGAGCATTAGGACTACAGGGTACAGCTTTCTCACAGATCCCAAAAACAAAGATATATTCCCTATCGGGGACCATATCGAGTACGTCTTTAAAAACCGACATCTCAGAGAGAGCTTAGTGAGAACGGTGGATGGCGAAATTGTGTGGTTATCCGAAGGCAAGACCCATTTTGCTACCCAAGCCCAAAGCTTACTTGAGGTTCTCTTGACAATCTTCCACCTTCTCGGTGGTCAGCCTGCGCGCTCTACAGAGATCATGAAGATTACATGGTATAACAGCGAGATAAAGCATCGGAACATCTTCCTCTGTGATGGGGGTATTCTCTGGATTACCGATTACTCTAAAGGAAGAAATCAGATGGGGTGGTCGAAATTCATACCCCGATACCTACCCTCCGATATCGCTTCGATCTACATATCATATCTCCACCGCGTCTTGCCATTGTACCAGTATTTTATAGGACCTAACGGAGACAAGTCTTTGATCCGGCCACGCTACTATTTCTTTTCGAGTAACGGTATTGCACCATGGCACAGTAGCCGGCTCACCCAAGTCCTTCAAACCATATCAGCACAGGCTTTCGGACAAGACAATTCCTTTGGCGTTTCGGGTTACCGGCATATGGCTATATCTATGAGTAGACGTTACCTGGCAGAGGGTTTCGATGAGCAACAACTGAGTAGAGATACCGAGGATCCCCTCGATTTACAAGCATGTCATTCTTCAAGTACAGCCGACCGAGTCTACGGAGTACGGGCAGATATAATACATGGTATTTCCGAAAGGTCTCTGTCGGTTTTCAGGGGGATAAGCCTGGCGTGGCATGCATTCTTCAGATCGAAAGAGCCAGCACTGGTATGGTATGAGCGAAACAAAGCGGCTTCTAAGTTGCGCCAGAAATGTGTCTGTGGTGGATATCTTGAAGGCGTCACACCCGCTACAAATTATACTAATAATCCCCTCCGACGTGCTGAGGACATGCTATACTCCAATGGTTACCCATGCTCCTCCCGACAGCGGGGCCCACTATCGTCAGACAGTTTCACAACAGCTCGGATCATTTTGACAAGACTATATGGGGAGTCGGCTGTTTTCAAAAGCAGCGAGCAGGCATTAGCCCTTCAGCATGTCCTCGAAGGTTCTAGCCCATTGGTTGTCGTACTCACAACAGGGGGAGGCAAGAGTCTTTTATTTGAAGGTCCATCAACAGAGAGAAAAGCCGGTGTCACTGTCGTCGTCGTTCCATTCATTGCTGCGAGAGAGTATTTATATAGTAGAGGAAAAGCGAAAGGTATTCCCTGTGCACAGTGGTTGGGAAAGGGTGAACGAAACAGTACATTGGTGTTCATCACTGCAAAATCGACATCTGAACTCGAGTTTAGAAAGTATATACGGAGTCTCAAGAACAAAGAAAGACTGGACCGAATCATTGTCGATGAAGCACATATGCTAATCTTTGGCGATGATTTCCGTATTGACTATTGCGACTTGTATTGGTTTTCCGGATTGGGTATTCCTGTAATATTTATGACAACGATACTTCCTCCGGCACTGCAAGAAGAACTCTGCATAGCTGCTCTGATCAGGAATCCAGTTCTTGTTCGCGGAAACACAGCCCGCAGCAATTTAAACTACAGTTGCATCAAGGTCAAAAAACCTCTTCTTCACTCCCATGGCGCACAAATAATCAATAACTTTCCTTTGGATCGAGCCGAAAAGATACTTGTTTACACCCGTAGCGTCGAAGCCTGCCAGGGCTTATCAAAGCTATGGAAATCGGGGGCTTACTACTCGTCGAGTGCTGGAAAAACTACGGCGTTGAAGGATTGGTTGGATGGAAAAGAAACAGTACTTATCACCACGAGTGCATTGGCTGCGAGGCTCGATATCAAAAATATTAGGTTAATTATGTTTTTCAACATGCCTCATACCTTTGTTGATTTTGCACAGGAGAGTGGACGGGTAGGCAGAGACGGGAAGCCATCCAGTATTATTCTTATTTATTCACCCGACGAGTATATGAAGTGCCAGGATACATCTTTCCCCTTGGATACAGACGCGCTCAAACGTTTTATTGCCACTGATGGGTGCCGAAGACTGCACCTCTCTGCATATTTCGACGGGGTGCCACAAGAGTGTAATACTGAACTAGATCAACTGTGTGACAATTGCAGTACACGGAGAAAGGCACAAGGTACAGCACAGATGACTGTTACCCCCGCCTCGAGTGGGCTCTAAACCGCTTTCATCACCTATCTCGAGTCCTATTTCTATATCCAGTAGACGTTCTTCTATAGATAGTTACGGCACAGATTCAGAGCCACCAATCTCGATTTCGAATATTATGCGTACTACTCTTACAGTTCTGGACTCCACACCAAAGGCCACCAGTCCAATGTCCGAAGGATCCACAGAGTCCGCATCAATCTTCAGTAGTCCATCCTATCCAGAGATTAGCCCGTCCCCTCAGCCAAAACATCTGCGCCGCATGTTGTTTCGGGAGGCCAAGTCGCAAGAACCCTATGGGTCACCCGGTATTCAGACACCATATCCAGGGCAATCGTCAACTGCAGGACAGTCATCGGGTGCGGCAAATATCTTGACTAGTCGCAAGAGAAAACACATCCCGTCTTCTATCATGGATTTCAGTGACGCCGATAATATCCCTTCCTCCCCTCCCTCAAAAGTGAAGAAAAGAAAAACATCTTCCATGGCTCATATAGTACCTTCGAGGAAGCGAACAACCACCTCCAGCAACACCCCGATGTATATCACAACAAGCTTGGGTGAGACAGAGCCCAGGGGCAGAGTATCGGATGAGTTCAGTCCTATTCAACTAAACCACCATCCCATGGGCACACACTAGACCAGAGATGGAATCTGAATGCAAGTATGTCAAAAAGATACATAAGTTCTCATATCAATCCTTACGAGTATTTACAGGCTCCTGAGAAACCAATTCATCATACCGAAATCGAAAACGTCAACCCACACCCTATATAGGTACCTACTTCTCACTGAGTGGTTTGAGCAATCAGCTAATCATTTGTTATAGGTTCTTATTCTTATCTAAATACGGTTCCGAGTGATTTTTTATTGTTTTATTCAATGATTGTAAATAGCGCATAATCGCTCAATGGTAATGCAAAATGTTACGTTTGCTGTCATACAGTAAGTGTGGTAGCTACAGCGTGGCGGTTTATCATGTAAAATTGTTGGAGTATGTTGTGAACGAACTTCATTCAGGTAGGTTGAAGTGATGTGCCTAAAATAGAGCATATAATCTCCAAGACAAGGGAGTTGTACTAGCCCCATATGTGTTACACGATAACGAATGTGGAGTCGAGTTTTGATGAGATCAGTTTGTGATCGATGCTTGTAACAAATGACGCTTTCGTCCACCTATACTAAAATAAGTAAATCCGTCTCCGCTGTTGAGTAAACTTTCTTACCTTCAGGTATGTATCGATATGGTGATACCTAGTGTGGTCCACTAGGCCCCTGGCTTAAGGGAGTTCAAGGCATGGGTGTCGACGAGGTGAGCTATCAGAGGTTTATGTCATACTATATTAGTGGCATATATTCAGTCGGACTCGTGTTTCTCATACGGATATTGAAAGTAATCCCTACATTTTCATCCCGGTATTGCAACACAATATGCCTTTGGCGGATCTGAACATAATGATTATCCCCTTCGAGCTAGCCCGAGCACCTCGAGGCATCACCTATCTCTCACAAGCAAGCAAAAGAATAGACCATACGAGGCAGGAGCGCCCCGAGGCAATCATTTCTGTCTCTCGCGAGTAGCCTCGTGGACCACACTAACACTGATACCATAGTCGAGTAGCTGCTTGAGCCCATAAAGAGCTTTCAGGAACTGGCCAGTATTCTTTGCACAATCCTTTTCTGCTGTAGCTGGGCAACATTAAACCTACCCAGCGGCGACTGGGCTACTTCACCACGAATAATACTTATTCGCAAATGGGCATACCCACCCAGTTTTTTTCGTCACCAAGTATACCTAACCATGAATATTAGTAACTGCATAGCATTCACCGATGGGCAATATCGGCTCTAAGCCAAGCTCGTCTCGACCGGGCTCGTGCCCAATACTAGTCACAATTACACACAAAACACGTCTTGGAAAACTCTTGCACGCCGTTGTTCCTTTCCATTATACGATCAGAAATTACCCCATTTCCCATTTTGTACCTTAATTCCCAAGCATCCAGGATATGTTGGGGTTAACGACCCACCACTTCAACTTCCCAGTGAACACCCGTAGCCCCCCCGACCCCAATTCATCGCCTTCCAGTTCAATCAGGCCATCACTTCAGTTTCCTTGACCCATGTAACCTCGCCATATACACATTCGCAGTTGGTAAGGTGACTAACAAGGATATGGATATCGATCGCCCCAACCCATCCATAGCTCTGTAAATGAGGACCAACTCGCCCTTGTAGTTGGACCCCCAAGCGCGGTTCCTTCCCAGTAGACCAAGCAGTCTCCAAACTGTAAGACTCCCCTTGTTGTGGCGGGAATGAAAAGATAGACTCCCCTCCGTGGCAGATGGATGAATTGCTAGAAGAGCCAACAATGCCTGGAAGGTATCAGTATCTCTTACTTGATGAAGTCGTGACAGGAGACATTGTACTCACAAACCAAATAAGCGGTGCCTTTACGCGGAAGTGCAATCATGCCACTCTCCTCGTAATGTGGATGTGCCGACATTATCTATTGCTAGGCAGTTGGCACATCAGTAAGCTTCAGCGGATAAGATCAATAGAAACTCACCCAGGGTTCTTATCGATGGAGGAGATAATGTCCTGGTTGTGGTACACACTGATAGTATTAGGTGGGGAGAGGTGTTGTGACAAGGTGAGCGATGGGTGTGTGTATTTATCTCGAGCTTTCGTTAGGGTAACTACATGTACTCACATTCTATTTTTTTGTCCCCGATAGTTTGGGCACGCACTCCATCAAGCTAGCGTTCTCAGCGATACTTCAACAACCCCTGTCAGACCCTCACACTACATGTACTTAATTATCCCACTCTGTCCTACTAGAGGCACCGGAGGTACACGTACTTATCTCATTTAAATGTCCATTCCATTCCATCCCAACCGTGCTTCGCTGCGAGTGGAGAGAGTTGAACACCGTTATAGCAGCATTCAGAAAGAGCCTGTTGAGCTTTGGGGATATGTCAGCTACCATCACCGACTTTGCTCCAGAAAAAGCGAACACCAGCGTGTCAAATGCAGACCGAGTGATAAAGGAGACGCACTCGCCGAACTTTCCTTGCTGAGGTGCGCAGGTGGGCGAGGTGGTTGGGGAAAATCATTGCAGGTAGAGATCGAGGGGGGCAAGGGAGTATGCAGGGTTGGAGGCTTTGAGTGCCCTCGTAAAATTGGTGCATGGCGGCGGGCTTTTAAATGTAGTTGTACAGGTGCATGTGGAGACGGAGGTGAGGCTCATCGAGTGATCCTCTATGATACACTCGAATCTACCTACTTGTAGTTTCGCTGTTGTTATAGAGGGTGGGCACAATGAGGTAGTAAGGTGGAGGTGGGCTAAGTGGGTGAAGCGGGCGTGTTAGAGTTGACGGGGTGGGGAGGGGACGGCGATCTTTTGATGGAAGAGAGGCCGAGTGAGGTGGGTATGAGTGCGAGCTCAAGTAGGGCGTGGAAGCTGGATTTGAGATGGCAACACCTAGCCCCCCGCAGGCAGGTGATCCTATTGTGGGGGAGTGTGGCCGGTGGAGGCGGAGGTGATGCGGAGGGGCGAGCTATTCTCTTAGTGACCCCGAATCCGCCAGCATTGAATTTTTCTGTATGTGTGTAACAATCCCCCCTTGGACCATTTGAATAGGAGCGGGCATGAGGCCGAGAGAGAGTTTTACAACGTAGCTTTAGAGAAGAAGCCAACTTGGCTGCAACAGATGAGTAGTCTAAATTTCGTGACTTCTCCCCCCTCTCTCGTTTCTCCTCGTCAACATCAACGCCTCAACACTATTTCCATCAACAAATCCATCGTACAGGATCCCTGGTAAGTGCAAAACCATTAATATCAGGACGAATGCTAACAGGAGATGAGTCCAGTGATCAAAATGTCTCAAAACGTCAAGGTTGAAGAAAAGTCCGATAGAACGACCAACCAAGTAGCTGCAGCAGAGAATACCAATGACAAAACAGCGAACGAACAAGCACCTAGAGCTCGTGCGCCTGCCCGTCAATGTGCAGCTCTCATCTGGATGAAAATCAAACACAAAAGGCTGAATGATAAATTGGTCGATAAGAGAAAGATGATTGCCTCTTTAGAGAAGGAAAATTCAAAACTCCAAGAGGAATTGAGGCGCACCAAGAATATGAATGATTCTCTTCTCCCTTTGGCTGCTGAGAATCTTTCACTTAAAGCAGATCTCCATCTCTGCAAAGTCGATCTTGAGGGTATTAATAATGAGAAAAATCACCTTCATAAACTTTTGACCGAGGCTGCTGGAGATATCAAAGGCGAAGATGAAGAAAGCTTAGATGGTATTTATATCTAATAAAACAATTATATGATTGATTCTAATATTTTTAATTTAGATTCCGACTGGGAGGGTGATTGTGATATGTACCAGTAGGAGGATCCTTAACTTGCTAGATGGGGTTTATTGTGGAGACAAATATTTTTGTCTTGATTTTTTGCTTTAAGATTGATATTTAAATTAATTGCTTAAATTCACTCATTCCGCGTGTAACCGAACAACCTACAGTGGAACAAAATTACATTCTAATCATTTTTATTCCGATTGTGTGAAATTGTTATGGGGGCGATACTTAGCAGATGGAGAGGTGCAGGCGAGAGTGTGCTTCAAAAGTGTCAGCAGCAAACCAAACACCATAGCGAGTTTTCCTAGTGTCGGTGGTTAAGTCGAGGGCGAGCTTTAGCAGCGTACACCAAGTCTCAAGCTTTTCTATCCCCTAAGCTTCTACCTTTTGGTCTGCTAGAAATAAAGTACACCTGGTTTACGGGTTTAATTAATTCAATCATGAAACGTCACTCGGAGTTGCAACTCTCGATATATTTACCTTTGAAGTATAGGGAGTATATCGAAGGGCTATGGCAAGACGACTCCACCTAATCCCTGAAAACAGTTGGCAGTATCCTCAGAAATTAATAATTCGGAAGTGAACCACACCGAGTGATAGTTTATGACTACAAAACTCATATACAGAGATTTATGCACAACGTAACCTTAGCCTCTATGATTACTATGTACGGTACAGCTCTTAGTCGGATGGGGCGGTTGTTTACCCCTCTGAGAGTCAAGGGCTAGTTTTCAACACTTGAGTCTGGCCGACTAGTGTCAATCAGTAGAAACTCCAAACCCATGACGTGTAAGTGTTAAACTTACTACCCTGTCCTTGATGATACCGGTAGCCTAACGTCTAATCCGCTCTACAATAGATGTAACTTGTCCACATCTCGGCGCTGGGTAAAATAACAGTATAATGATGCCGCGTGGATCAAATGAAAGTCGTCGATGCCAACTGTCGACAACGTAACTAAGAGCAATTTTCTTCCTTACCCCTTCTCCCAACTCACCAACCGAACCAATACCTTTCATATGTATATCCCCCCGATGAATACCAACTACAATCGAATGTCGAGCTCCTCGGAGCAGTTTAGATGTGCCCAGCGGTCCAATACAGATGGTAATAAAAGTCCTTCTCTGGGTTCAGGAGTTAATGGCTAATCTCATATATACAGAAATAAGTGAAACAGAAACGCTGATAAACTCGCCATCGAATGGGTACCAACGTCATCTCCAGATTGTATGTGGCCCGGTGCCCCCATCAAAGTCCTATCATGATACCTCCCCTGAGGAAAGGTTCCGTCTTTTTAAAATTATTGGCTACGAGTGTTGGCGGCCATCTCCCGAGACACTTGACAAGAAGGTAGGGCTTCTCTGTACTTGGGACACGTTTCTTTTCAAGAATATTTTGGAAAACACATGCACATGGGAGGCATGGTATAATCACTTCTCCTCCAAAATCCGTTCATATGAACCTGCTTTATTAAAATGCTACCTGGTATACGACTGGAAGGAACAATGCAACATGCCAATCTATATATCTCCACTCTGCCAGCAACCAGGAACACTACGGACAGTATTAGATAGCTGGTATCCTCTTCATATGCAGAACGTTACCCTTATATACGAGTACGAGGATCCATACTACCAAAGTCGGGCCGGTGCTTCGGGACTTTCTCCTATCATATCTTCGCGGGGATTCCCGTCCTCCAGCTCCGAGCTTCCAACCTTGAACGTACTCCTGGCAGGTTGGAAGGCTCGGGATACTATAATTCCATCCTCACCAGCCAGGAGTGAAAACGTTGTTCCCTCGGAAAACAAAACTGTTCAGTCCTTACCAAATCTTAGCCCGCGGTTAAGATCTCTAAAATCCTCACCGAGTGCAGCTAAAGAGAACTTGAAATCCTCTGCCAGTAAATACATCTCTGCTGTTAACAATTATGCTTCCTCCCAAATCAGATACTCATCGCCGCTACTACCGACAGCATCCGGGGAGAATAGCTCGAATGCTCAGCGGCTTGCCAGCAATTTATCCCGCATACCCAAGAGAAAGCTTTTGAGAAATCGCCAGGGTTCTTCTGCTTCCTACATTCCTTCCAGAATAGTTGGGGAGCATAATATGACTACATCGCAGTTATCGTGGCTTAAGCGTAGGAGGACTAAGTTGCGCCCGGAATAATGCTGCTAATGTTTCGTTTTCTATGATGCTAAATGTTTTACCTTTTATACTAAAATTGCGCCCTACAGTTCATTGTACTCTTTTCACTCGCTATCGCTATCTTTTTTTTCCCTTCTCTTTCATTGCTTGTTGATTAATAATTTGAAGGCAATTATATCTTGTTTTCAATTTCCTTTCTTTTATGCTGTTGGTTTCATCGACGAAGGAATTCATACTATGCACATGAAAATACGAAACCTATAATACCTAAATCACCAGAAAGTAGCTGTAACGTACTTTAGTAGTCGGAAATGGTGTCCAATTAGTAACAAATTACCATGCAATTAATGAATTAAACAAAAAAAAAAAAAAAAAAAAAAAAAAATAACAAATCACCTTATATACAGACAACACAAATGAGCTTATTTATATCACCAGCGCCCCTCTGCGATAGGAGGACAGATTTACTTATAATCAACTCAATTTAATTTTTAATTTAATGATTTAACTGATAACACTAGGGGCAGGGGGAGCTGGATGGAGTTGTAGGCCTGCGTGGTGGAGGGCAGCGCCGGGCAGCGGAGTATGTGAAGCTATAGATGGAACTGTTACGGCTCATCCACGAAGACAGTTCACTCGCGGGGTTGCGGATGAAGATATTGGGCTCTTCCAGCTGATCCCCCTCCTCCGCCTATTACAAAAATTATTCCCCTAACTTCCTCCGAGTATTACAGATGTTATTCCCTAACCTCCTCTCCGTATTCCCAAGGTTATTCCCCGACTACACGATAAACCCCCTAGGACCGGAGGAGTACTGCGCTAGCATGTATGGGTTGACAAAGACAATGGGCATGAGCTCAAGTAGAGTAAATCTATGGAGCGGTAAATTATGGGGCGGTAAATGTTTCAAAAGTAATTTTACCACCGGTGGTATAAGCATCGAATTTCAGCCCTTGTGCCAGTATCAACACTGAATTTTAGTCTTTATACTGCGCTATACTACATAAATGTTCAAAAAACTTATGAAAATTTCCCACTGGTTGTGAAATTCCCCACCGGTGAACAATGTTCATATATAGTGGCATTATATGGTCCCTTCTGGCCATATATTGGCATTCTATGGCCCATTTCGGCCATATATTAGCGTTCTATGGCCCCTTTTGGCCAAAAGATCTGTGCTTTTATCATAAAAGTTTGTATTATTTCCACCACCGGTGGTAAAATAATTTACTACCGTTGGTAAAATTACTTTTGACATATTTACCGCTCCATATTTACCGCTCCATAGTCGCCAATGGTGAAATACCTGTCACCAATGGTGAAATTCCCCACCGGTGGACAATAGGACTCATACATTGGCATTATATAGCCCCTTTTGGCCAAAAGGTCTGTGCTTTTATCCATTATTAGGTATAAATGATGGCATTATTTCCACCACCGGTCGTAAAACGATTTACTACTGTTGGTAAAATTACTTTTGACACATTTACCGCTCCATATAAATCCGGGTTTTTTTTTCGTTGCACTTACCGCTGACTTCATGAACGGTCTGAATTATTCCGAACTGAGCTGGGACGTTCCAATATATATCTCACTTCCTGGATGAACTAGTTCACTCACTGAACTTCGTGAATAAACCGGCTTCGTGAATGAGCTGTAACAGAACTATAAGTAAAATATAGGTCAGAGTTCGAAGCGGAGGACAGCGGGTGGTCGAAGAAATCTCCTCTACAATTATGCCGGGAGCTTCAATGCAGCATTCCGCCCCATCCACCTCCATCCACCCCCCTCTGGGCTTTGGGCCCTCCCTTTATGGGCACTGAATGCCGTATGGGTTAGGGTTCCTTGCTCTCGGCCAATCACACACTGGGCTCGCGCGCGCAAATCGAGCTTTTATGATAGAATGATCCGGTGCATGACCAACTTCAAGTACACGAGAACTACTAGGGGTCTCTCGCAACCAAATCATTTTCATTTGGTCTTGCCGGAACTCTATTTTCCACACGGATCCTTGTAGTAGGTACATATTAGATAGAGACTTAGAAACTGTATCACATTAACAATACCATCCGGCAACCATACAACATATTAGATTGCTATCAGTGGATGAGAAAGGAAATAGAATTACCATGCCATGCGATCGTATGAACTCGCGGGTTTTATGTTCCTTCTTGACTCCCTTCCCGCTCCTCTTGGGCTCCCCCAGCACGTCGCTGACCTCCTCAAAACTCATGAACTCCTTGAAGGCTATTAAGTTCTTCACCTCGTCTCTCAAGGTTGGAAGAGCATTTTTCTTATCTCTGTAATAGCCCATCCCATGCAACGAGGATAACCCTTGGCAGCATCCCGGTCTGTAGCTCTTGGGAGTGCGCCTGATGATTGAGGTAGTAAAGGGGCACTAGAAGGAAGTTCTACTCTTGCAGATTCCGCCGCCGAATCAAAACTCGAAGTAGATGAGACATCTAGCGGCCAGGAATAACGAATTTTTGCAGTTGGCCTTGGTTACCAGGCGTAGAACTGCCCTGGTGTGATTTCCTCAACCAGATATGAAAGTTCCATTTCGCGTAACGTTGAACGGATTGGACTGATTGGTCGCGGATGGGTTGAATAAGGTTCACTACTTCACTGTTAGAAACTGCCCCACAGAACTTTGCCACACCCCGCACCGCCTTAGCTTTGATATTTGCAGATGTATTGAGCATGAGGTACTTTTTTTCCCGACTCTGGCCATTTTGCCTGCAACTTTCGTTGCAACGCCCATGGCCAAGACCCTCGTGGATAAAAGACTCGCGCGGCCTGTTTGAAGCCATCCAAAGAACTGTGGCGAATGATCTGGCAACGACTAGGAGCTCACGTTTTTTTAGAGTATGTACACGGATTCGTCCCGATTGGCCGGAGAGAGACAAACCCTAACCCCGCGTTGCAACCAGCCCACGACACTGGCATACACGGTATTACCTACTCAGAATACCTAGATATGACTGTTAGGAGCACCACTTGGGGGCCGAACACATTGCACAATATTTCAAGCAAAGTATAATATTGATGATAGATGAACAAAAAAAGAAAAAGAACAAAGGCTTAGCCGACTACAAAAATACAATCTAATTAGAATGCCAAGGAAAGTGATTAGTGCTTAGTCATCTCATGACAACATCCCCCCCCCCCCCCACTCGATTGAGTTCCTCCCGAGCTCCTGAAATCCAAAAGTTAGCCTCAGCTCCACGTTAACGTCTTTCCACTGAATAGTGTGCGGATGGTCGGGGGCGGTCGAGTTCAAGACCCACTCAGATCCGAGTCCGGCCACCCAGCAAGCTCGCATTCTCGGAGGGTTGGCAATGGCAGGTGGCGACCCCGCACCATTCCTGTCCGGGCTTCACTGCTTAATTGCATGGGCACACAGTATTTCGGACGAAGTCGTCCCATCCCCCCGGCCGCAACACCATGGAAGAAGCATCGTAATCCGTCGGTTTACGTCTGGGGTCAAGGGCTAAGCGAGTATCAAGTGTTGTGTACTCGCCTTCGAATCAGATCTGTGAGGTTCTAGGTTGAGTCGGGCGAGGTTCCGTCTCTCGATGGTATTGTAGGAGCGATGGAGCGGGTACCGATCCAGAGAGGGGGTGTCCTCCTTTTAGATCCCTCGATCCTGAGTGGAGCTGCATTGCCAGCTACCTTCGCGAAAAAAGAAATGAAACGAAAAAAGCAAATTAAAAACAAAAAAGAAATATCAAACTTGCAATGTGAGCAACACTTGAGGAAATGAGGAGATGAATCTCGTCGGTGTTGCCAGCTGTTAGGAGCCCCGAACACAATGCACAATATTTCAAGAAGAAAAGTGATTACTGTACAGTATATTGATGGTAGATGAACAAACAAAGAAAGTTAGGGTATTATTAATTATCCTAAGTGTGCAATATGGCAGGTGGGAAATTAAATGGGACGTATTGGTGCTGGAGATAGAACCCGAGACGCACTCTAAAGTCTACGGCCTAAGCTGCATGAGAGAACAAAAGCCTCACTAGCTACACGCGCGTGGCAATCGCAACCGAGATAGCTGAATCTCCAAGCCAATGAACTACTGCTGAAGGGTGGATTCGGCGAGAACTGGCCATGACTAACGGTATCCCTTGGGCTGGCGAGACATGCAGATTCCCTGACTTCCTGATTAGGGTGTGGCAGAGTGACTTCGCCATTGAGGAAATGATCCTTTTTACAGAGGCAAGGTCACTTAGCCACCGCATGCCAGTGTAGTTCCCCAGTGAGGAAGTCAGGGAATCTGTATGTCTCACCAGCCCAAGGGATAAGCTGGCTATGGGATGACTAAGAGCAACATCCGGGAGAATATCTTTATTCGTCGAGAGCCACAGGGTCGGTAACCTGGCGGCTTTAAGCGCGGGGCGTCGGGGTGCTGGGCGGTGTGGGAGTGAACTGCGGAGAGTAGGTACATAGGAGGTAGGAGGGGATGCGGGGGGCCCAATGCCCCCAGTGAACTGTTACTGTTACAAGTCCTTGATATCCAAAGTGTAACCTCGTGCGCGGTCGCGAGCTGGGCTACCAGGTATACCTACCGCTGTTTGTTTTGCTATCAAAGCATTCAAAACATCAACAACAGGCACGGGTGGTTCACATGAGCGGACCTCCAAAGTTCCTACCTGCCTCACAAAAGCAGAATTCTGTCCTGGTTGCTCGGCGCGCATCTCGGCGCGCATCTCGGCAGAGTTCCGAAAAGTAGCAATGCCTTCAAGACTCTGTATAGGTTGGGAGTCGGATGATTGTGTATGATGAGCGGAACTCTCGGCGTTCGTCTCGGCAGAGTTCTGAAAACTGTCCACTGGCTGTATAGATGTTAGCAATAGTGCTTGTAACAGGAATTAGATACTTACATATTGATTATAAAAAACACCTATAGGTGGAAGAGACTGTGAAGACTGCATGTGTGCGATGTTGATGGATTGTGAATAATTTTTTATATGTATTTCACTAGCGCAAACTTAATTTAGTGGCCTCCCTACTCTACACTTTTTTCAAAACCTCGTTAAAACTCACGAACTTTGCTAGGTGATCTGACCAAAAACTAACTTGTCGAGAAAATATCTGAAGCTGATCTCTGCATTTAAGCCAATCATCAATGAAGAAATCCCTACATGGAGATAATCAAGTTGGCGAGTTTCTGCGGTATTAACCCGTATTCGTCACCCCTGTGGACCTAGTTCGCACTTCGTTGCAAAACCTGTCTAATATCTAATATGCACTCTTGCCTCCCACCCACGGTGACCCACCCACCAGCGCCACCGCTGAGTCTTGGTCTGTCCGAGTGAAGGAATATCCGCGTGGCCAGGGGCACCTGCTAAACTACTTACTCGCGTCAGGGAAAAAGAACCAGAACATGCAAGTGAGAAAGCAGGGATTATTTGTATGGAGTGGCGCTGAGCTGCCATACAAACTAGGCATTTGCATGTTCTGGTTCTTTATCCTAGACGCGAGTACCGGGTGTTCACCCTTAGTCTGAAGAACTCTGCTTCATTGGTTGAAAATGCAGGGGTTTTATATGGGAGCCACAAATCCGCAACCAATTATCATCGATCACACTGGCAAGGTCTGGCATTAGCGCACTAAATTTGTATGGGGGAAAAAGGTCTGAAGAACTTTCATATATCTTCACTCAAAAATCAAAATATTTTGCTAAAAATACAAAAAAAAATAACCGCAGAATAGCGCTGGCTCCCAGCTTCCCCTAGATAGTATTTTGAGCTCATAAGCCCTTGTGGGGAGTATTTTCTGATGAAGCTGGGTGCAAACAGCAGTCTCGGAGGTTGCGTTGCAAAAGATGGGGGGCAGCCTATTCAAGTACTTTTCTGGCGCCAAGTATCATTTTCTGCAGCTTCAACCAATCATACGCCAACAAAGGGTTCTTCAGACTAATCCATAACCCCCGGTACATGGCTGTTTTCTTGTCAGCACCCCAAAATAGGCCGCGCCAGAGCTCCCTGATTTGTCGAGAGTGGAAACCCTAACCCTGCCTAGCAACCACCCTACAGTACAAGGCTCTGGCATTAAGTGAGTGAACTAAATGGGGTGTTGCCTGGTGTGGATCCGTTCACTCACTTAATCCCAGAGCCTTGTACCGGGTGTTGAGGGTAAGTGATCAGAATCTGATAAGTGAATGTTGCGGTGAATACTTGTAATTGTCTTATCAGATTCTGATCACATTTCGCTACACCCTAGTACATATCTACAAACCCGCATACCTAATGCCGGCGCTGTCTCTTGCCCAGCCTTCGTCTGATTGGCTGTTAATTACACTGCGCTTTATGACACAAGTAGCGAGAGGCACGATCCTTGGTGCCATGTGATTTGGGCTGGGTACGAGACGGAGAAGAAGGCTGGGCACGAGACAGATGCCGGCGCACCAAATTCGCGAAGGTTTTTCTTTCGTTAAAATGCGCGGACTAAAATATAACCTTAAAAATATACTGGTGATATTCACAGATCAATATCAACCGGCGACGGGAGACATATATCAGAATACGCTAAGGTCGATATAACGAGCTGTGGCTCTGATTGATTGGTTGGGAGCGACAGGAAGAGGGGGGAGGTTGTTAGTAAGCACAAACTGTGTACTCGTAATTTTTTTGCGTTTCCGGACTGGACTGGGTCCGCATACCACCAAAATATGGTTGTCAAGCACGATTTACGCCCATATGCGGACCCAGTCCAGTCCGGAAACGCAAAAAAATTACGAGTAGCAACGAGAGCCGAGAAGTGCCAATCGTCCAGTTTGACTGCAGTCAACTGTAGTCGACTAGGTATGCCAGGCCAGGACGGTGGACGGTCAGAACGGACTGCATGGACTGCGTTTTTCCAGCCAAGCCAGTCCGTCCAAAGGGAGGACGGAATTCAAGGACTATGGACTGCATATCGCCTAAAACAGTTTAGTGGTATTGTTTATCATGATGTTTATGGTAAGTAAATAGATTTCCATTCTTATAAAGGTGAATGAATACAATACAGAACCATTATGGTATTAATTTAGTTCTCTTTGACTGTGATGATACATATTGTCTATGAGCTCCAGGTTAAGGCCGCCTCAACCTAGCAAGAACGCGACTTAGGTAACGCCCCAATACAGCCCCGAGGGTCAAATTTCATGCAATCCATAGTCACACCGCAGGCAGACTGTGGACTAGTCATGCAAGGTAAGTAGACTGCACGATTCAGTCCCGTCTAGCCCGAGACTGGACGGTTGTACTCGAATGTGCCAAGCCAGTCCTGTTGCAATAGTTTGGACGGACTAAATGGACTGCGGCGGACTACAGTCGACTGCAGTTTTTCAGCCAAGCCAGTCCGTCCAAAAGGAGGATAGACTGTAAGGACTATGGAGTCCTGCATGAAATTTGTCCGGATGTCCAAAAGTAGTTTAGTTAATTGGCTGCAATCTGTATAAAACACTCAACACCCTCAATATATATACAGCTCGAGTAACACCACAAGTACATATTTTATCCCTAAATTATGTCGTTTACCAAAAACAATTCGCAAGTATGGCTGGGGACGCCTTGAACCGGGGTATTGCAACATTCGGTCCAGGAATTAACAGTATGTTAATAAATACGCGGCCATTAACCGCCTCCACTAAGCAGTTAACTGCCTGCGTCAACACCCATTAACATGGTCCGCGACACCCATCTCAGACCCCATCTCTAATAACTCCACCCACAGAATAGCTAAATTAATTTAGGCTCTGTAGAGTGATAGAGCAGGTGAAGACTAGTCGAATTACAGAGAGAGAATTAATTTAGGGTGTGGTTGTGGAAAGTTATTAGCTTGGAAACACTTGACGTTGAAAATGCTCCGGTTCAAGGTGTCCCCAGCCATAGATGCTGGTTCTTCATATCAACGCAGGGTAACATTATCACCCTGTCATTTTTTGTCAGCATGCAGTCCGTCCACTTTTTGGAGGAACTGACTTGGCTGCTTGAAAAGTTCCGCAGTCGACTGCAGTCCAGCTACAGTCCGACTAGCACTGGTCGCCAGACTGCGCTAGTGACGGGACGCGAGTCTGATTCTGATTCTGATTCTGGCATAATCATGACATGCAATCCAACGGACCAGCCCTGGACGGGTCTGTTGTCGCCGTTGAAATTTACTTTCCGTCACCGTATAATTTCATGTAGGCGGCGGAGTTAAGACATTCTCAGGCAAAACCAACGGCCGCGGTCCCTAGTCTATCGTTAACCCACCATCCCGTAATGTATGCGGTAAGCAAACACCACCTCCAGCCGGACTTAAGATTTAGTGAAGCGGGCATAGCTGTGGTATCCAGGCTCCGAAATGTCAAAACCCGTAAGCTAGCTACCCATAATGTTATTACTAAACTCGTTGGATGAGGTTTGCATTATACCTAACTAACCGCTTTACTAGATGCAGAGTCCGCGCCGCCCCGCACCCGACGAGCCTGCGCTATGCAGAAAAAAAGCCCGCTCAGGCCAGGAGAGCTCGCGCCGCTCAGAAAGCGCCCGCGCTGCATAGGAAGAGCCTAGAAAGACCCCGACTTCCAAAGAAGAGTTTAGGGAGAGATTGTACAGCTAAGGGAGATCTCGCGCTGACTAGGAAGAAGCCCGCGCCGCACTGCCCAAGAAAGGTGTAGAGTGGGTTTGCGCTGGGGGGGGGGGGGGGGCTCCTCAGGAATAGCCCGCGGTGCCCTCTGCGAGCTCGCTTTCCTTAAAAAGCGCTCGCGTGCCTTGTGGGAGCTCGAACTGGGGGGGGAGTGTTCGGTATGATTCAGAAGAGCTTGCGATGGGTAGGGGATTGAGGATGAGAATATGCTGATATGAGATGATACTCGTGAATATTTTGCTGCCCGATTCTCGGAACAAGATTGCCCCCGCATTGTTAAAAGTCTGCACATCGATCTTGACCCCGCTTAAAGGTTTGACGACCTTGTCCGCAATCAACGTATCCGGGCAATACAATTCGATATCCGCCTCTATTTCCTATTCAAGCCAACCTGAACGTGATCGCTCTTGGGCTCGCGGGGAAATGAGGTCATGGTACAATGGATCGAGGACCCCGCGTATTTGAGAAGCATTGAAGTGCTCGGAGAAAACCAAGAAAGGTTGGCTGAAGGAGATCAAATCGCTTTTGCCTGGGGAGGCATATCTGCAGGTGCTTAAGAAATTTCATAGTCTGAAAAAGAAATCTCACCGAAATGCCGGCCAGATGAACGAGGCTTGAGGTTGGGGATTGACCGCCGATGACTTGAGCCAGAGGAAGAGATCGCTAAGAGCTTTGTAGAGATTAATCCTACACTCAGAACTTTAGCGAAGAATACTAACGGCCAATAGAGAAGTTACTGTCTACATATGTAAATATCAGTTCTTCTTTCGGTTTGAAGATATATGGGGGAAACAGTCCTAATATCCGCCCTCTTGTTGCGTTCCATTCCAGTTCTGATAATAGAGAAAAACTATCGGATGAGTGGAGCTTTAATTCAATATCTCTTAACTCTAGCGGATATCGAAGAGGAAATGCCCGTGACTGTATCTGATAATGAATTAGCCTTTTCCCCAGCTCCCCCTGAATCACCTTCGATAGATAATAGTTCTTATATCCCCTTGGATCCGATATTTACTTATAACTATCCCTTCGTTAGTGCCCGAGTTTCATAGTACTTAAGCAAGAGAGGGCGCTGTGTTAATCACTGAATTAATTATGATCGGTAATGTAACGCTGCCACCAAAGGGAAATTGCACTAAATATAAGGGTTACGTTTACTAAAGCAAGAATTGCCTCAACAGGTAAATTCCATCCCAACTGCCATTGAAAGGAACAAAGCGGTCGCAGGTGTGCTACTGTAAGTACCGGCAGTGAGGAGTATCGGCTCTGGAAAGGGAGAGAGAGGATGCCCTGGTCGGAGATGGGAAGTACTACAGAGTATTCCTCGGATTGACTGAAGTAGCGCAGCATCAATAATTCAATTATGAACTTATATCCACCCGGCCCCGGCTGGCTGTGGCGCACGATGAATATGGTCACGGAATGGATAAGGGGAATATTAATTAATGACCGGAGATGCCATTAGAGGTGGGAGAGATTCTCAACTAGGAGAGTTTCTTGAATAGGAGTAAAACCTCGCGGTCCCGAGGTGGTCCACTACTAGTCTTGCCCTGAACGAAGTGAAGGATATGGGGGTAAGAGCTTATATCCCTCGCTGGTTGGCTACTGCATGTGACCAACAACCCTAACCCAAAATAATATCAATATCCCTTTAAAAAAAATTATAATCATGTCAGTCATATGATCCTGTTGCGTGGCCGCGAGGAGGCGCTTCCTATACACCAATTCACGTTCTTCGTTCAGGGGTATACGAATACCCGCGGGCCTTGTAAGGTAGGGTCGGGTCTGGGCCGGGGTAACGCCTTAAAAGTAACCAAAGGTGACAAAAAGTCAATTGCTAATAACTTTACCGCCAAAAACATAAAATAAACCGGTACAATGAAAGCGTGTTAGTAGTGGTGAAGCTTACCTTCATCGACAGATCTTTGATATCTATCCTAGTTGTGAAGTTATCAGAGCTTGAAACCGGCTGTTTTTGTATATAAAAAGCGCCAAGACTGAGCAAAGCGAAACAGTATTATACCCATTTATACCAGCAATGTAGTATGGTTGCGGACACCTGTATCCCTTTCGTGCCAACACCTATCAATGATATTAAAAGGTAGTCCGAGAATTGCCTAATCGGGTGATTGAATGCATAAAGCGCTAGAACTATTTCCAAAATAGGCAATTCTGGGCGACATTCATTTGGTCTCTTACCAAAAGCCCAACTTTTAGAAATTCAATAACTCCACAACCATAAACAATAAAATTGATTGGACTCTGTCATAATGTAGAGCGGAGGTTAAAGCATAATTTAACAGAGAGAAAATAAATCTAGGTGCGGTGGTTGGAAAGTCATCACCCCCCAAAGTTTGATGTCAAATGTCCTCTGGTTACAGGTGTCCGCAACCATAATATTTTACCCTCCCATAGAGGTAATATTAATGAGTTGAATAAAAAATAAGCATGCAGTATGGATTGTACCTGCATGCATATATGCGCTTATACAGGACCTATCCACTACACTATAATCCGAGATGTAACTGCTATTAGAGCTATGTAGTGGGAGTGGAGGGGAAATTCGAAAGTTACCTCTGTGTCTAACCAGATTGGGAAGCTTGAGCCGGCGGTATCACCTTTACCTTCCTCTGAGGACATGTAGATAAACAGGAAATCTTCAAAGAGGCCATGTTTCACTCCCGGTTAACTGGCGGGGGCAGATAATTTACCTGTCTACATCCCAATAATTGTACGATAGGATTTTGGCGGGCATCAGATAGGGCATCAAGTAGCATATTTCCAACGACGCATCCCACACCAAAATATTCGCTTACAAAATTTATTCATAAACTGATTCATTTCTATAGACTGCAGAGAGATAGCTGGCGTTGTCTACCAGTTTGTTTGGTTATTATACAGTGTCCGGCGTCAAGGAAACGATACTACCCCGGCCCCTTACATAATCAGCAAGGTCGCTGTAATTCTTTTTTTGTTTAATTCATTAATTGCATGGAGGTCGCTGTAATTAAGATGGGCATGTTTGCGAGGACCTCCTGCTTTTTTTTGGCACAACAGTGTCCTTGTTGATAGGGATATCCATTACCGTCAATAATATCTGAATAGTTTGTAATATCGAACTAGTATCTGGTCAGTTCGGCCATCTCAATTGGATAGAACATCTTCTTGTTAGCGCATAGACCTCTGAGACTGATTAGTGGTTTATACAAGTGGTATCTATATCTGCGAACCGGTGAGGTATTTCATCTAATATCAGCAAACGGGTTACCCATCTATCTGTCACGACCTGTCTGCTAACGGGGCGGGCCATATCATGATATCCCTCGGGCGCGTACCATCCTTATTTAAGCTTAAACAGTTTGTGGTGGCAGATACAGACAACTGTATCTAGACACAAGGCCACATACTGCCTCCGGGCTAGCAGCGGAAGAGGGTACCCAGAGGACAAGCATACCTCTCATCTCTATTAACACACAAGGCAAACTAGGATGTTGAGCAAGGGAATATCTGTTCGCAAAACACAATGTGTCCAACTATCGTAGCCATCAGGATAAGTATACTCGACAAAGAAGAAAAGGCAAGATACTCCGGACACCTAATTCCCTTCTCACCTGTATTTAAATGCGCCCATTCCTCTCTCCCCTTCGCTCCCACATCCATCCTCAGTATCACAACACCGACAACACCCATACTACAACCATGGATTCGAACTCTACTCCTCTCTTGAATGCAACTATCCGTGCGACAGAGCCTTCTCCTCAACCTCGTCTTAGCCAGGGCTCGTCCTCTCGCGCTGCAGGCAAACGCCCTAAAGCCTCTCCCGAGCCTAGCTCCAGTACAGTTAAAGCTATACAAGACCACCACGACCATCTCTAACCCCCGGAAGGCGGAATGTTCTGGAAAAAGTTCCTCATTGTGCACTATCGTCAACAGAAGACAATTGCTACTCTGACTAAAGAGCTCACTCGCAGTCACAAAAAGGTCAAAAAAGCAAAGCACCACAGATCTGAACAATTCAGAGAGCTACGGCAGGAATTGCATATGGCCCTTGTTTCAGTCTACAGACTTAGAAAACAGAACATGAAATATCGCAGAATTCTCTCTATCGCTGTTGGTAAATACCCACTTGGTAAGTCTGTTCCTTCCCTAATTTTATAGGCTCGTCAGCTAAGAATCATACAGGGGAGACATTTGTCGACGAAAAAGATCAAATACTTAGTCCTGGTGAGGAGGAATCTGAATCTGATGGTATCGACGAAATGGGCTGGAACCAATCTGAAACATCCGAGAGCTCTGAGGAATCCGACGACGGCTCAGAGGACGAAGTCAGTACCGACTCTGATGAGCTCTTCGATCCCGCTGAGTTGCTGGCATAGTTGTTTGGAGGAACTGAACTAGTGGAATAGTCAATATTTTCATTTGGTCATTACACACGCGCAGCACGATACTGTTTTTTTAAATTGCTATTAAAATAAATATCGCTTCATGAACCAGATTCAATTTAATTGCGCCATCCCAGCGTCCGCTGGACAGCACTAAATTCTAGTTCGCTTCTGGTCGATTGAATAGTAGTGCCCACCCATCTCGAAATCTCTTCATCACGAAATGTATATATTATATTACGGGTTGTCAAAAATAATAGGACGCAACAGGCACTTGAACGCAATGATCTCTCGGCCACGACGGATCACGGGGTGGCAACAGAAAAGATCAGTTATAATAAAGAAATACTAGAGACTCGAAAAGTATCTTTCTTCCTATCGTCATCCTTTGGTGGCCGGATTGCGTGGCCGCTACGGTTTTCATTGGCCACTTGCGACCTATTATTTTTGAGAACTTATATTAATAGTACTTTCGAGCTTTTAATTGATGATTGAATAAATTTATTTAGTTGAGTATATTGTTGAAAAATCGAGTATACATATCGATGAGGGTGCCGAACCTCCAGTGCTACACATCGTTTGTGATATGAGCAGTCATTTTCTATGATAACTCTAAATAGGCTACTTATCTATAAGTCACTATCTGTCTGTGAGCGGGGTTGGCCGTATGATGATATCATGCCGGCGGGTAGCGTCCTCAGTTGGGTGAGAATACTTTTTGGTTGTTGCCAAAACCGAGTGATTACTTATGACTTCATATATATCTATTGTCCTAGCTGTCAAAATCAAGGACTAGATAAACCAGAATCATATAGAAGCACGCGAGAGGCTCAATGCTCTAGTGTGATATCACCATAACTCTAATGTTGCGTATAAGTAATAAATCAAAAAAAAATTTAACACTCCCAAAACCGAGTGATCACTCACGACTCGATATATATCTACAGTTCTGAGGACATCAAGGACTACATAGACCACAACCATATAGGTCTGTCCAGTCTGGAGGCACTGCCAATGCATATACAGATATCTATAATCCGGACTTGGCCGTTGTGAACAAGGACTACCACTACGTGGGAATAGCATATCTAGAAATAACTGCGTGTTGGCGGCACCCGTGAAGTATGTGTTTTATACATTCACGTGCCCGTTCTGTACTTGATGGGACAAATTTATCAGAACCTACACAAGCCTTCTAACAAAGTAGCCTAACCAACAGATTTTGCCCGGTCATAGAACACTGTCAACATCTTGTATTATGACGACTATTAGGAACACGGTTTATCTTTTCTGTACAACTCACCATCAATATAACCTAACCCAAGATATTTTGTGTTATAAATATATTGCCTTTCAACCCCGAGGGAAATTCGGTCATAGTCTATCACTCGCTTTATTCACCTGATATCACTCGATAAACTTCGATTACTCTTTATTGTCCGGGTCTTGCCTAGTACTGAGAGTCAAACCCAGAGCACCAGCTTGTTTTATGACGTTTTATCGCTTGGGCTGGTCAAGTCCGGCATAAAGGTGTTTACGATGGGGTTATCCACTCAACCACAAGAAATGGTACAAGAATCATAGTGATTGCCGTGACACAGGTCGTGACACGGGACATCCTGGTGGGATCACGAATACTGATTACCCGCAAATATTTGTCTATAGATTCTTCTAGGCTTGAGCATTCGTGGAACGCGAATCTTTGCAAAGTGACGGTCTGTTTGAAGGTATCCTCCAACGGACTACGGACAGATCAGTAGTAATAACAGTTAAATAACGACACATTTGACAGTAATACCACAATTCAACAGCCGGGACCTTGCACTCTTACCTCCGAGTACTACGAATAGATCTAATGTGTACTAGTGATGGGCACGAGATGAGACGAGACGAGACCTGGCTTAATCTTCACTCGTCTCGTCGCGCAGGGTCTCCGTCTTGTCTTGTTTTGTCTTGTCTTGTAGGTTTTTTTTTCTTTTCTTTTTCGTTTAATTCATTAATTGCATGCAATTTGTCTTGTGGTTGTGGCTGGTCTTGAGACAAAGTCTCGAGACGTCTTGCACTTTAACTAAACAAAGTTCAAGTCTTGTCTCGTCTCGTCTTGTATTTATTCTCGTCTCGTGCTCATCACTAGTGTGTACAGTAAGCGGACGGAACAATAGAAACGCAAGACAGACACCAATAGGAGTTGTAATAATACATTTGAACTAACACAAATGTATTTCTGGGAGCACCTAGGATCCAACACTAGTAACATCGATTATATGATAGATGGTTACCATTATACTAGGTAACGTATATCATGGGGAAATCGCATATCACCAGGATGAGGGTACTGAATTGTCTCACTTTCCCTCCTTGACCATTTTGGTTACAAAAGTAAGAAATACTAATACTACAAGAATAAAGCCTAGTTTCAACGATGCGAGAACACATACTTTTTATTGGTTAAAATCCATATGAGAGGAATGATATTAGAGATATTTAAAGGAAATATTGAGGGTGTGGACTGAGTACCTTTAATCTATCTCCTTGAATGAAGTGAAATTCCGGGGGGTCTCTTAGCCAAACTTTATCAAGACCTCGCCGCAGATCCACTGCCCGCATTTGACACAAGTGGTAATAGGTTTTCATCAAGGTAAGAGTCTTCGGGTTCTAAAAATGCTTGAGGTGTTGTAGTCTTGACTCTCCTTTGGCAATTTTTCCGTGATGTTTGATTTTTAGGAGTTGGAGTCGCGGGTTCTTGGGTAATGGTGGGCTTTTGAGGGGTACTCGCTGCATTCCTCTTCTTGCCCTCTTCCTCTATTGCCTTTTCCAATTCCTTCCTTCCTAATAGATTTTTATCTAGTTGTGCACTGTATTTGGATGCCAAATCCAGATGGCTGTCGCTCTACCAGTTTTAGAAATGAATCAGTAAATGCATCCAATTTTCATAATGCGGAAATGCATCACCGTAAATGTGTATTGGTAAACGAATCAAATTAGTATGGGGAAACGAAGCGGTAAACGAATCGATAAGTTCGCTTTATTACTTAACCTTACACATATCCTACCCAACACAAAAAAAGGAATTACTAAATGATATTCTTTATTAGCAGCGGCAAAAATTAAATATGGGGTTAGGGGGGATCGAACTCTGATAACTTTGAGTAATAAGTGCATGAGTTACCGCCTATGCTATGTGTTATTCACATATTAAGTATACATTTAAAACTGCAATAAAGTGTATTTTATTTGGACTAGAGCCGAAAATTTCACTAAGTTCAAAAATGCTAGGGACCTAAAATACTACACCCATCCGCATCCCCCAGTCTTACAATTATACTAGTATTTGCCCCCGCGCGACCGCGAGATCTTACTCCTGCTCGAGAAATTCTCCCACCTCTGTGCACGTGTACTTCCCATCTCCAATGCACGTAGTTGCTCACCTATAGTAGTTAATTGATATTCCCAGTCAATCCAGGCCATTGTTATTCTACTTTCCACCTATAGTACTTACTCCCTCTCAATTTCCAGCCCCATCTCCCGTAGCATAATTAATCCCCCCATACCGGGTATATTAGTGTCAGGTTTGAAGCCCATTCCAGATTTTTGGTGCGTTAGTTAGGGTTCTTCGCTCTCAACCAATCACATATATAGTTACCCAATCGTTTCAAAAATCGTTAATAGATAATAGACTAGGGGTGTGCCACCTCGCGACCGCGAGACCCCCCTCCAAATGAGAATCTACGTGTAGTAGGAAATTGACAATCTTAAATATTTTAATTAGTTTTGATTTGCCCTTAGCTATTCTGTGGTCAGATCTCACCGTTGGCCATAGCTAGTTTCTCCATCTAGTTCTTTTAGTAAATAATAATCTCAACTCATTCCATCTCCGCTTAGCCACCGCCAATGCAAATCTGTAGGTGAGTCTTTCCCGTGATCGATTCCAGCTCCAGTCAATGCTAAACCCAGTTAATTCCACCTTAAATGCCATATTGTGGATGAGTTCGGTATGTTAGTGCATGTCGCTGCCTGCAATGTTTGGTCCAACCCCTTTTGGATTTTTTGGGCCCCATCGCCAAGAAACGATATTTGAACCCTAACCCCATCCTTTATGATATCCGATAAGTTTAATTTGACATTATATACATATGAACCAGCTTCCTCGCCAGTGCACGTACCTACCTGCCTACCTGCATGCCTGCACATTAACATCAATTTGTTGAACTTGGTACTCGATTTGGTGTCGTATTGGTACTGGATTTGATACTCGATTTGATGCTGCTGTTGGATTCGCTGCTGCTGGATTAATCGCTGTTCAATTCGCTTATTAGCGCCTTGATGATAACCCTGATGGTAATTTGGGGTGGGGGGGATCGGGGTAGAAGGTACGGAGGTGGTCGAGGTGATGGAGATGAGCAGGCGTAGACGGCTTGATATTTTCTACAAGTAAGTGCCTAACCCTAACCCACAAAACCTTAATTTTGCGCTCCAGACCTTACAGATTTCCTTTCCGTAATTCATACCTCTTGATGAGCCTTATTACTAGGAAAACCCTTAATAAAATGTGATTTATGCGGGTTTCTGAGCACCGATCACACCTACATACGCCCAAAACAAGCCAAATCTGGGCTTATTTGAGACATGAGGTTTAAATAATGCTTTTCGTCTGCCTATCAGCCTTATAGGAATACCCGTTCGGACCCCAATATGAGCAATCGAGTTTTACCTAGCTTGACTACATGTATCTTGTTGCGATGTATGGGGTGTTTATGGGGCTAGCATCGATCGCAATATATAGAATGTGGGATACCCGTGTTTTGCTTTAAGTTATCGTTCCAGGGTCGGAAGGAGAGCCAAGATAGTTTCTCTTGGCACCAGCGTAGCTCGCTATTTAAGAAGTTTCAACTCTCCTCGTCTTCCTTCCTCCAACATCAACCTTACCGAGTATCATCCTTCCTTTTCATCGACAGAATCATCATGGTCTTACTCGATGAATCTATGGTAGTCACCTACCAACGCAGGGTCGACAGGCTACAGGAACGCATTGCAGATCTCAATAAGGAGCTTGCCCAACACGTTAAGGCATTCTTCGAACTACAGGGCCAGCTCCACATTGCGAGATATAATTCTTTGCACTTTAAGTCGGACAACTACGCAGAGGAAGTGTTGGTTCTTGATTGGGCGCTCAGATGGGAGAAAGGCCAAAGAGATGAAACCAGGAGGAAGATTGAGATGAATGAGTGGCTGATGGAGGAACCTACTCGTGAATTGGCTCTTGTCAAACACATGATACAGACAAAACCTGTGCTCATGTCTGGTAAAACCTACTTTTTCAAAGTTCTCTGGGAAGTACACCAGCTAATAGTGCCCTTTAGATGATACCGACAATGGATCATCCACGATGGAGACAACTGGGGGGGATACCGAGGAGGATACCGAGGAGGAAGGGGCCGAGGAGCAGATGGCACAGGAGAAGGAGGAGACCGAATGGGAGGGCATCATGGAGGAATAGGGGATGGTATCCGCTGTTGGAAACCGAATTAGTTTGTTTCATCATAATTCAAAATAAGGTATTCGGTTTCAAAAGGTCTCGTGTAAACAGTTTCTGTGTTTCGTGTTTTCTGTACCATCTGTTGATTAAGACTTCAATTTGGTCAAGTGTACGACTAATTCATCAAGTTCGATCGATCGATAGTGCGACCCGCCCAGAAGGCCTATGTCAAGTTGAAAGGGTTAACCTGTTGAAGAAGTGCTGTTACGACCCAGTGGGGGACGGCCCTTATTTAGGGACGTCCCTGGCTGGTATGTACCAGTCGTGGAGGTCCCCGGATGGAATAGGGAACCCATATGTACCTGTATAGTATGAGCTAAGTATACCAACCAGTGACAACGGCGGTTAGTGTCATAAAGTACAGAGAAATCTGTACATCTCATCTGTCTACCTTCTCGAAAATCCATTTCTAAACTCTATCTCTCACATTTCTAGCGATAGCTGCGCAGTGTAACACAATTCTCGAATACCCCCTCACCCACCAAAACCAGTAGAGTTTCTGTATGATTCCCCAATCTTATTTTGTTGTGAGGCCTTGTGGGTAGAAGCGAATTGGTAGAACACTTATTCTGTTTCCTTTAATTGTACTGCCCAGGGACGTCCTTGACTGGTCCAGTTAGTGTATACCACTCAGAAAATCACACTATTCTTGACTGGTACATACCAGCCATGGACGTCCCTGGATAAGGGCGGTCCTTGGCTGGGGCGTAATACTGCTCCAGCATAAAAAGGGTACCAGCGAGCACCCACATCCGCGTGCAGAAATATATAGGTATACCAGGACGGCTATGGTTAATGGGCAAAGGATAATCGGCAGGAGAAGTACTGAGGAGAATGCGTTACCGACGGCGCTGATGGATGGGACCATTCTGGACACGGGAGCCAGACAGTGCCATATCTTCAGACTGATTGGGGAGGATATGTAGCACCTACCCCCGTAGATTAGCGGTTTCTACTGATCATAACTTGTCAACTATCTTGGGAATCCCGTGCCCATCACCACTCATTATATGGCTCGACAATGTTTACTATCGCAACATGATGATCGGCCGAGCTATTGATGAAGACGCCCCATTTGGCCAATGCGTTGTTCCATTCATCATCTTCCTCGATAGAGCGCCCACCTGACCAAATGCACGTCTTGATTAATGCAGTATAATAGCCCTCGAGATATCTCTGCCTCGTGTGGGATCTCTCTTTCGTTCCGCGTGGAATATAAGTCGTTCTTCGGGTGCTTTTGATATCCATATCGGAACCTCAATCTCGTTGAAACTACCCCGTGCAGGTGGTTGCTTTCTAAAGAATCTGGAGCATCGTGGGCTGTGCAAGAGCAACTTGCTCAAAGATTCTCTTCTTACCGGCCCCACACCTTGAGCCTACTCGACGCAGGAGCCTGGAGGTAAGGCTATACATAACCTTTAATACCTAGTGGACTAAAGTAAAGAAGATTATGTGTATTTCAAGATTTTGTATTGGTCAACAAGTAGGTACCCCCGCACACTCGCTGTTGGTTTGGGACCGAGCGTTGAACGAGATACAGTCTTATATGCGGTTAAGGCTAATACTACCGTTTCTCCTGAATGGGGCCTTATTTCATTCTCGTTTGGCAATAAGTTGTTACTAGAGACTTATTTTCTACTTGTTCGGGGCATAGTGTGTATGCATGAAGTCTTTTCTTTTCGAGCCCTACATGGATGGCCGTTGAATAATGGGGGACCAGCTTTCATTACCCTGCGAAAAATGAATAGCGCGATAGGATTTGAATGGCCGAGTTAAGGCCTTATGCCATTCGACTTATGCATCAACCTCAAATTTTTTTTTTTGTTTAATTCATTAATTGCATACATCAACCTCAAATGCTCAAGGTGAGTTTTTATACCTGGAAGTGAATCTCTGTGAGTATATATCCATATAAAGGGCTTTCGGCTCAAATAAAAACTTCCCTCATGATGGGCCTCACGGGCAAAATCTCATCAGGGGCCCGGCCCAGCCCAATGTCAATTTCCTCAAGCCCGGCCCGGCCCGTTATATTTTTTCCCGCGCAAACTGTTTCGGGCCGAAGCCCATTGGAGCCTCTGCCCTCATCTCAGTGTTTTCAAGGACCACTATATATGTGTTATGTATACCGGTAGGTAACTCTTTCAACGGTCCCAGGCGCCCCGCCGGGCACCGTCCAGGGCTCTGATTTAGGATATGACCGGGCGGACGGCAGCTAGTGGTCTGTCCAGTCCTGAGAATGGATGACCACAGACGACGGCCGCGGCCCGCAGGCCTCTGGAACTGGATACCCTGACGCGGGTGACTGCATATAACTGAGAAGACTACCGAGATATATTGGGTCACGATATATCGCTCGGAATTCTCTTTTTCTAGGTCTTCACTTATTTCTGTATCTCGAGCCTGGGTAGAACTCTGCTCCTAAGGAGTGATGCAAGGAGTCCGGCGGTCATGATGGCAGTCTTAGGTCTTATGTCTCTGTGAATGGTATGTGTTTACACTAGTCTTTTTCGTTTTCTTGTTAATCGATACAACCCCGTTGAGGTACAAAAAGATACCAGACAACAAGTAAAAGCTTTCAGGGTTCGAGTACTATCAGGGCATTGATCGTGAACATGCTGATGAATAGGGGAGAGATGACCCGGTGACGGAAGACCGCTTATTTCCAGGCATGATTGATGTCTCCAGGATATATTCAGGGTTTGGTATCGTGCCTAACTGCAGGCTGTTGGTAAGTCAGTTCCCACCTAGACAACCGGATTCCATAGTGATGGTATCTGGCCTAGCCAGAGTTCGCAGATAGAAACCAGATAGCTTATGGATGAGCCAGGGTTAGTTAGGTTTAGTTAGGGTTAGGGTTAGTTAGGGTTAGTAAGGGTTAGTTAGGGTTAGTTAGGGGTTAGTAAGGGTTAGTTAGGGTTAGTTAGGTTAGTTAGGGTTAGTTAGGGTTAGTTAGGGTTAGTTAGGGGTTAGTTAGGGTTAGTTAGGGTTAGTTAGGGTTAGTTAGGGTTAGTTAGGTTAGTTAGGGTTAGTTAGGGTTAGTTAGGGTTAAGTTAGGGTTAGTTAGGGGTTAGTTTAGGGTTAGTTAGTTAGGTTAGGGTTAGTTGGTTAGTTAGGTAGTTTAGTTAGGGTTAGTTAGGGTTAGTTAGGGTTAGTTAGGGTTAGTTAGGGTTAGTTTAGGGTAGTTAGGGTTTAGTTAGGGTTAGTAGGGAGTTAGGGTTAGTTAGGGTTAGTTTAGGGTTAGTTAGGGTTAGTTAGGGTTAATTAGGGTTA